TTACCATCAACCCAAATCACGTTTAAAAATGACTAAATACCTTCAAGAAATAAAATAGATGCTTGAAAAGCAAATGCATTGGAGAAGTTCTATAAACACTCTTAATTAGTCTTGAATAAATTTTTGTTGCCCAAGATTTCTAAGCCAGTTCTTAATAATTATTATAAAGGCTGTCATGTTAGATTAAAAGCCCAAACTCAATTTTGCAGAATTCACCTTCGCAACACTTCACCGTAATGTTCAATTTGGAGTATTTAGAACGCTCTGTATTGTTTTATTAACACTGAACCAGCTCTTCCTGTCAGAGAAAAGCTTTTATAGACGGTTAGGTTAGATCTTAACCACACCACTGAATGCCACTATAACAACTTTCTGCATGCCAATGCAAAAAGATTTAAAAGTGGCATTTCCTTTAGTCAGACCTGTTCCCCGTTCTCAGTTCTTTATGCTTTGCTAGTACCGCATCCCTGTTCAGCTTATCCGGCCCAGGCTGTGGTTCTGAACAGCCTGCTGATTTTGATTTATTATTGCGAGAGCAAGATAAGAGTTCTCCTAGCTATCACCTTAACCCCATACTGAATCATTTCCTCTCATCAAGTCGATAATAGAAAGCATTTCTGCTTATTTGATTTCTTTTTAAGCTGCTTAAACACATGTGCTATATTTTCTTTTTTTGGACTTATTACTGAGGAAGTGTCTCTTTAGTCCTTGCCCTGACGGAAACTCATTTCTTTTTGACGGTGGCCAAAGGGTGCAAAAGCTGTGCAAACACAGGCTTTGACAGCAAAACGTACAGAAACTCAAAAATGAGACTGGCAAACTCAAAGTGAGACTAGAAAACACACATAAAAATAGTCTTAAAAAAATTAAAATCAGACTAACAAACAAACGCATGCAAAGGAGAAATGCTGCAGTTAGTGAAATGCTGCAAAGTGGTGCCAGTGGTAGTTCTAGAAAATGTTCAAAGGAGGTACCAAAAAAGTAGAGTTTGTTTTCCAAGTTTGAAGACGTTTCTTTTTATAGTCAATTTGTCTGAATTAGGGTTGAGTTCCAAGCTTCATAGAGTAGCCCAACAAAGCCTTGTTTTGGCTTAGAAAACATGCATATTGAACCTAAAGAACAGTTCCGCCCTTTAGTATTGGGGAGTCGTTGTTAGCCAGAAATACCCGATACTGGCCCATACCCCTAAAAAGGGTAGTTAGGGGCATTGTTGGCCTGGCCGACCAGGCGAGATGTCTTGGTCCCCTCCATGGCAATGACGATTATGATAGATAATCAACTCTATCGTTGTGTTGTAGGTTTTTGAGTTGAGTCCACCCTCCCTTCAAAGAGGCAGGGACCAGTGTGCTCTGAGGGATGATTGAAAGCTAATAGGCGCTGAAACCAGTTAGGGTCAATCTAGACCAGGGGGTCAGAAACCTTTTTAAGGCTTACAGCTTCTTCACGGTGACTGGGTCAAAGGAAGAGCTACCAATACTTACCCATTAACTCAGAGTCAACTTAACGTCAGGGAAAATAAACATACTTTTAATATTTCTTTTAAATTCTGATAAATTTTTCTTAGATTTTATCATTTTGCAATCTCTCTTAAAGCAATTGTGATTTAAAAAAAGATCAGCAACAGAATAAAATAAGGTGGTGCCCATAGACACCGCTTTGATGACCCCTTCTTCATAGTGATCACAATGAACCAATAGGAAAATAAGTCCCTTGCTTCTAAAGCTACGCACATGTTTATGCATTATTGTTGTTTAAATTAGTGGTTCCTCATAATATAAACATTAAATGAGCTGCGCTGTTCTTTATCTGTAATTATATAGAAGACTCCCAGATTCTGCAGAGATAAACTCTCATAGTCCACTTTGTTGTAACTAATTAATTGCTGTATTTTTACTGTCAGTTTTTGGGTTGCCTTTAAATGTCAAAGTAGGACTTTCCACATGATGCCTTTCTAAGGGTCTGCTCCTATATGACTTATGATTGTCTCCCCTTGGTGTAACACATTGCTTAATTGCTGTTTTTCTTACCTTGCATTCCCCTTCGACTGTTAGCATCCGTCATCTTTTCTGATTGGTGCATTTCTCTTTTTTTTTCTTCTTTTTTTTGGATACAAGTCTCAGTTTGATTTTGCAGGACTGTTTGAGTCGGTTGTGAATACTTGTATTTGCATGGCGTTTGCACCCCTCGGCCACCGCCCTTTAAAAAACAAAACAAAAAACCATTGAATAAAGATGGCAATGCTCATGAGGAAATGCGAGAACTCCTAATGACAGCTGGTAATGAGGTCAAAAGGCAGGTTGGTGCACATCATTTAGCAGGAATGGACGTTGAACAGGTGTTTATCATGCAGGGGTCGGTGATTCATACAAGGAATCTATTTCCTCTCTTGTCAGGGGTTCTGATGGGAGTTTGAATCACAAGACAGGTGTTAAGAAGGAGATTAATTTATGCTTTCTGCTGCTGCTGCTTCACTTTAATCAGATAAAAGACGTAGCTTTGTTCTTTACCACTCCACACAAGGAGTACACAACATACACACACCACCTCCACCCATTTCCAACCGATATACTACTTCACGGTTTTACCACTAATTAATTATTTCCTTAATAAATACAAATAGATTGCATATTACTGACAATGACGCAGCTAAAACCATATACTGCTACACATTCCGTTGTACAATGGCAAGCTTTTTTGGAATAAGTATCTCTTTTATTGTGGTTATGCAAGTAGTTTATAGGCTGATGGTATCTGTCCTGCAGTAGATAACAAATGCTTTGCAAACACACATTCTGTCTTGGTTCTTCTCTCTTAAACTATTTTTTTTCTACCACACCTTTCCCTTCCACTACCTTCTTAATATGCTTCGATGTACCTTTGGTCACTAAACTAACCACCTCTTTAGCATTGTGTTTTTATAGCCTTCTATCTTTGAGGGTGTCAGTGACTGTGCTGGAAATAGCATAACTGTAGGAGTAAATTAGTTATGTATGCTTTCCTGAGTTTGGGGGTTTCAGCATAATCCAAAGAAAGAAACTTTGAATTGACTGATATATTTTTTTCTAATAAATAAGTAGAAAACATTAATTTGTCCAGCAACATTTGCTGTTTTATTATACCTTTTTTTCCCCAAAAAAACACTTTCAAGCTCCCACTGAAGTGTGTTCTGCAGATTGGTACTAACTTATGAAGGGTTTGATGCTGATTGAGGGGGTGACATCGATCCAAAGCCTTGGAGCTGAGTCATTGAGAGGATGTGCCTTTGGTGTGTAAACTCATAACATCCTACAGTGAGGAAAATAAGTATTTGAACACCTGAGAAAATCAATGTTAATATTTGGTATAGTAGACTTGTTTGCAATTAGAGAGGTCGAACGTTTCCTGTAGTTTTTCACCAGGTTTGCACACACTGCAGGAGGGATTTTGGCCCATCCCTCCACACAGATTTCAGTCAAGTTTTCTCCCTCCAAAGATTCTCTATGGGGTTTAGGTCTAGACACTGGCTACACCATTCCAGAACCTTGATATGCTTCCTCCAGAGCCACTCCTTGGTTATCCTGGCTGTGTGCTTCAGGTCATTATCATGTTGGACACAGCCTCCACGCATCTTCAATGTTCTGAGGGAAGGAGGTTATTCCCCAAAATCTCACAATACATGGCCCAGGTCATCCTCTCCTTAATACAGTGCAGCCGCTCTGTCTCGTGTAGAAAAACACCCACAAAGCATGATGCTAACACCCCCATGCTTCACAGTAGGGATGCTGTTCTCAGGATGGTACTCATCATTCTTCTTCCTCCAGACTAAGTGGAATTATGGCCCAAACGTTTTATTTTGGTCTAATCTGACCTGTGGCTTTCTCCATGACTGCTCTTGATCATCTGTTAAATGAGGAAGTTATGTCCCCTAAAAAAGGCTGTTGTGCCTCTGGGGCTTCATCACGGTTCTTTTCCTGGGAGCAAGTTATTTACTACTCTTAACTCAAACTGGTTAAAAACATGTAAAAAGGACTATAAAACAGGAGTAAAAAAGTAACAGAGTTTATTCCAGATCAGGTTGTTACAGGACAGACAAAATGCTTAGAGCTTGCACAGCTGTGGGCTCAAAAGTCACGTCCGCGAGCGTCCGGCAAAGATTGAGCCCCAACAAGGTCATCTCCTGCTTCTTATACCTCATGAGTCTATGTGTTGCATCAGGTGGATTCTCAGCTGTCCATATCAGAAACTGACATGCCATCCATGTCTTGAACTTCATGCACCTTGCCTCTATGCCTCAGGGTTACAGATAGCTCTCCTCTATCAGTCCGGCTCCAAGATGTGCCCATATCCTGTGTATTTTTTAAAGACACGAAGGCGTCCCTGATTAATGACCTACGTACACACAGTGACATCCAAAATGTGAAGGAAGGCCTTGTGCTCTGTCCAATCTGTCTAATAAAGTAACAATGCACATGATGTATAAAGAATAAACCTAACACATCCAAATGGCCAATGGCAAACTTAAGAAGGGCCTTGACATGTGCTAGATTAAGCAGTGGAACTTTCCGAGCCATGCATGAACTATGACATCTTAATGTATTGCCAACAGTAACCTTGGAAACGGTGGTCCCAGCTCTTTTCAGGTCAATGACCAGCTCCTCCTGTGAAGTTCTGGGCTGATTTCTCACCTTTCTTAGGATGACTGAGACCCCAGGAGGTGAGATCTTGCATGGAGTCCCAGTCCCGTAGGAGATTGACAGTCATGTTTAACTTCTTTCATTTTCCAGTGATTGCTCCAACAGTGGACCTTTTCTCACCAAGCTGTTTGGCAATTTCCCCGTAGCCCTTTCCAGCCTTGTGGGGGTATACAATTTTGTCTCTAGTGTCTTTTGATAGCTCTTTGGTCTTGGCCATGTTAGTAGTTGGTTTCCTTCTGATTGTATGGGGTGGACAGGTGTCTTTATGCAGCTAACGAAGGTGTCTTAATGCAGCTAACGACCTGAAACAGGTGGATCTAATTTAGGATAATGGATGGAGTGGAGGTGGACATTTTGAAGGCAGACTATCAGGTCTTTGGGGGTCAGAATTCTAGCTGATAGGTGTTTAAATACTTATTTGCAGCTGTATTACAAAATTAAATAGTTAAAAAAAAATCATATATTTTGATTTCTTGATTTACTTTTAGATTAAGTTTATCACAGAGGACATGCACCTACAATGACTATTTCAAACCGCTCCATGATTTTCAAGTGGGATAACTTGCAAAATAGCAGGGTGTTCAAATACTTATTTTCCTCAGTTTATATCCAGTTCACTGAGCTTTCTGGTAGAAAAACCAGATGATTGGGTGAAAGACTTTTATAATGATCTTGGCTGTTTAGTGTATTTGTCTCTTATTGTCTTTGGCTCCATATGTAAAACTCCTCCAACAAAGCTGGGCGTCTTCATCCTTTGCAGTTTCACAACCTTTCACGTCTTCTAGAATGTGACTAAAAACCGTTTAAGACTTGGACTAGATTAGAAACATCTCAGGATTTAAGACTGACTTGTGTGATATTAATGAACCTTTGATTTAAATGCATGACATTTTTTAAACCTGGTGAAGAAATGGGATGGATGAAGCTTCGCATAAAAACAAGTAGTCTAGTTTTCTGTCATTTCCAATGCAAATTTCTCCCCTTCAGTGATTCCACTTCCCTTTAATGGTTTTACGGTGTTGAGGAATGTTCATTGAAAGCTTCAGCTGTAGTGAATTTTTCTCCAATACCTGCTGCTGGATTCACAATGTAAAATGTTCTCCAAAATGAAACTTTTATTGAGAAAACAGGTCAAAATGAAAGCGGAGAAATGTCCCTTCTTAGGTAATGGTAGTTATCGGGAATAAAGAAGGATGTGTGAACCAAACCACCCAAAGACAACCCAGGCCAAACATGCCTGCAGCCTGACCTACCTGAGGCCTGATTCTAATTTCTATTTCTGTTGGAGGTTTTCTTTCTTGTCTGTCTGAGGGAAGGACTTCCTCTTGATGGCTTTTCTGGTGACATTAATCTAGAAAAGTAGTTGGCCTGACCTTCCTCTGTGCATTTTGTGGAACTCTTTAGAGGAACAACTTTTCAGCCTGTTTCTGTATCTGTATACGGAACATAATTCACAACAAATGTCATCTCTGGACTTTTAGGTTGTCAGTTTCAATTTATATACAGAAATGGATGATTGAATCATTTCCGTCAGACGCATGGTTTAAAATTAGGTTCAGTATTTTTAGACTGTGATATCAAACAATGTATTAGATTTCAGTGCATCATGCTGACATGGAGTTTTCTAAGGAAACTCAGCTGATTGTTTCCAGCTATAATGCTTTGGCTATAATCCTTTGCCTTTTTCTGCTCATATTTACGCTGCTTTGCTGAAATATTCGTAGGAATAGAATTAAGCTATTTAGGTTTTATGTTCTTGTTAAACACAAATTCCTTTTTTAATTTGAAATCAGTAAGAAGTGAATAATCTCTTCTTTTACTGGAATTAAAGTCTTTGGAGAAGCATGTCATCCTTGTACACTGCAAAAACAATCTAGAAATGAGTAAAAAAAGTCTTAAATTAAGTACATTAACTTTTAATTTGAGCAGGAAAATAAGATGATTTGCCAATGGAATTTGTACTTTTACTCTTAAAATGAGATAATTAGATAATATGCACTTGAAATAAGAGAATGTAATCATTTTTTCTTATTTTAAATGTAAATTGTCTTGTTCCATTGACAAAGTGTTACACTTACCTCATTAATTCAAGAAAAAATACACTTATTTAAAAAAAAAAAAATGACTCATTGAAATTCAAATTTTTTGCAGTGTGAGAATGGATGGAGAGCGACAGTGAGGGTTAAATCTCTGTAGATTTTCTATTGGATCTAGACCTGGACTTAAATTGCCCTAAAAATTCATATTTTTTATTTAAACCTTTACTTTGCAGCTGGCTGCACGTTTTGGACACTTGTCCTGCTGGACTAAGAACTTCCCCATCTGTAACCTTTAACAGGTTTTCTAGAAGGATTGTTTTCTATTCAGGTTTCTCATCTATTCGGCTTTTAAAAACTTCTCTGTCTATGCAGAAGAAAAGTATCCTCAAAGCATGATGCTGCCACCACCATGTTTTAGCATGGTGATGCTGTTCAGGGATGATGCACAGTTTCTGTTTTGCACTGTAATTTCCATCTTAGCCAATGAATTTAAATCTGGTTAGATCTGATCAGAAAACATCTACAAACTGTATTTGCTGTTCTAAAAGCCCTACACCAGCCTTTAAACCTGACTTTGCTTGGCATTCCTCATATAAAGGGTGACCTTATTTGAAACATCCAACAGTTTTCCTATTGATAAGCCTAATCTGTGGACCTCCATGTTCCCCCAGCAGTTAGGGCAAGCCTATTAACGGGTCTTTTGTTTCTTCTTAGCCCAGATGCATCCCTCTGCTCTGTGACGCCATGGACTGACAGACAAATGCTGCAGGGGGATCCACAATGAATGCTGATCTGCTTCTGCAGGAGACGCTGATCAAGCGTTCGCAGCAGAAGAAAAGGACATCACCACTGAACTACAAGGAACGAGTGTTTGTCCTCACCAAGACCAGGCTGACATACTATGAAGGAAAACCAGAGGTCACTTTAATTCCTTCTATTCCAATATGAAACAGTTTTATTATCCCTGTTTTGAAAACATTTCAGTCAGGATTTTGACTTTTGGTTCTACTCTGCTCCAGGTTTGCAGACATTTCAAAGGCAGACTTAAGATTTAGTTGGGAATCTATATATATATGTAAAAATACAATTTTTTTTTTCTTTTGCAAAAGCAGGTGAAAAATGTAATTAGTGGTAAAATGCACAGTCTATACAGGTACCTGGGCATTTTGACCTTTGAGTATTAACCACAGAAATAGCCTTTTAAAAGCAGCTTTTTGCTGATATGATTTATGTCCAGGATGCTAACCTAGACCTGTTCCAAATCGAGTTCTAGGAGGAGGAAGGATCTGCCATGATGCTCTTCTCTGCAGTCCAGTTAGTTTAGTCCAGTCTAGTCCTGAACTGTTTTATAGCTCAGCCAGATGGATTAGTTTAACCCTTTATAGGGAAAGTTACCATTTCTGATCACCTGCATACCTTCTTACAAATGGAGTCCCCCCAATGATCCCTTAGTGACGTCCAGAAGCACAACATTTATATCCAGCCATTCATGTGGCTTTAGTGGTATTTTAGCATTTGACCAATTAGATGAGCCCTTGAATGATGAAAAACCTACTGTAAATTAAGTTGGAAAAAATAGTAAACAAGTTAAGAAAAAAGACAAAAAATATTAATAAGCTAATATAATGCTGCGTTCACACCGGGGGCAGCTGGCGCGACAGAAGCAGCGAGTTTACATGCAAAGTCAATGGTTGACGCGCGTCAAGGCGCAGCAAAAAGTCCCGCGGCGTGTTTCGAGCAGCAAGCGCAGCGCGTCTGAGCAGCCGAAGCAGCGCGTCGGGCGCGTTTTGGCATCTGACGCGCGCGACGCGCCGCAAACGCGCTGCTGCTCGAGATGGAAAAATTGAATTTTTGCTGCTCGACGCGCCGCGTCAACCAATCAGAGAAGCTGACCTGGGAGCTGGCTGGGAGAGACACAGCGCTGATGACACAGACCTCTCTGATTACTCCTCTTAAACAGTTTATTAACGCATAATTAACTTAAAATATATACATCTGCCGGCAGAATATGTTCGCTTTTATTATCCTGCTGCCTGCAGTTTGGATTATTTAGATGAAAAACACCTACAAGTCGCCGCGGTAAACCGTGAAGAGGCGACCCAGCCAGAGGCTGCTGATGAATGGATTCCTTCTGTCGGAGCACCGCTGGTATGTGGGGGTCTGAGCGGCTCCGACAGAAATAACATTGGGAGGCAGGATTGTAATCTGGATGAACTGACTCCACTGATGAAGTTTTCAGGTGTATTTTCTCACTTAAAAACATATTAAAACTACTTTATTCCCACTGATCACAGCAAATATAGCTGCAAGGCAGAGAAAGGATAGTGAAGCTCCGCCCAACGCGCGTCAGACCCACTTTTGGACCGCGCAGCGAGAGCAGCAAAGCTGCATCAGACGCGCGTCAGAATTCACTGGTACAAGCAGCAAAAATGAAGCAGCAGACGCGATTTTGCTGCTTTTGCTGCCCCCGGTGTGAACGTAGCATAAATGTTAAAAAAGTAAAGGTAAGTAAAGCTAAGTAAAAAAAAAAAGTAAAAAAAAAAAAAAATGTAAGTGCCTGTATCAGCATTAATCTACGGAGCCCCTAAAGGGACATGGAGGGAAAAAATAAACTTTTGCGAGATCTCGCAATACTTTTGCGAGATCCCGCAATACTTTTGCGAGATCTCTCAAAAGTATTGCGAGATCTCGCAAAAAATAAACTTTTGTGGGATCTCACAAAAGTATTGCGAGATCCTGCAAAAGTATTGCGGGATCTTGCAAAAGTATCGCAAAAGTATTGCGAGATCTCGCAAAAAATAAACTTTTGTGGGATCTCACAAAAGTATTGCAAGATCCTGTAAAAGTATTGCGGGATCTCGCAAAAGTATCGCAAAAGTATTGCAAAAGTATTGCAAAAGTATTGCGAGATTTCGAAAAAATAAACTTTTGCGGGATCTCGCAATACTTTTGCGAGATCCCGCAATACTTTTGCGGGATCTCGCAAAAGTTTTTTTTTTCTCCTCCATGTCCCTTTAGGGGCTCCATATTAATCTCTCTAAGGTACAAAATAATGTATTTCTTTCACTCTGAGTGTTTATCATGAATTCCTTATAGAAGCAATTTTGTTATTTTTATTATGCATTAGGGCAAGTGGCCGTTTCTTATTACATTTACATTAATTGTTGACAAAATATACATATATTTTGAATGTTACGAAGATAATAAGGTGTCCTGTCCCTCTTGGCTTAAAATTCTGATTTCCAGAGTATTTCATGAGTGTCCTATAAGGAGTTAATAATGGACAATGCCTCCTCTACTGACTTTACCTTACTATGGATTCCAAGTGTTACTGTGCAGCAATCCATGCCAGTAACATGTCTGACCCTCTCATGCATACAGACAGCCCACCTCTTATTTTATAATGTATGACACCTCTTTACCTTTCCATGTCCAGTATCATGCCTTGCCCATTTGGGTCTAAGAAATGTTTGAATTTTGCACAGGAATCATAAAAATAGCCTCAATCTTTATCTGTGATGACCAATGATGGAGAGCTCGCTGTAGTGCTGCAATGCCACACAGCCAGTGGAAATTACTACAAATCAGTACAAAATCACTTTTTCATGACATAATTGTATTTTCCCTATACCTGAGCTGATAAATAAGACAATCTGCCAATTAAATAAGTTTATTTACTTTAAAATGCCTTTTTTTTTTATCTGAATAGCATAATATTTATCTTCTTTTAGGGGGAAAATACATTTATTTATTTATTTATTTTTATTTTTTTTTTTTTTACAGTGTTCTGTCTGGCAATGTGGCAATAAGAATAATTGTCTTGATGCCAAAAAGAGCCCAAAAGATTTTACTTTAACAAGTGTAGCAGTATGGCAATTTCCATATTGCTCCAGTTGTTTCATGCATATAAATTGCTTTATTATAATTATACAGGGAGTTTTACAGTTTATATGGACACTGCAATGTAAATAGAGCAGAAAAAAGGAAGAAGAAAAAGGAAAAAAAGAAGAAAAAAAGAGAAAAGATGAAGTAAAGAAAAGATAGAAAATGTATTTATTTAGCTGCTCAATTTATGGCCAAATCCTCCTAATTTAGTTTTTTTCTTTACCTATTTTTGTATCTTGTCTCTGCAGTGCAACAAAAAATAAACTTCTAATTTGTTATACCTTTGAACGAAGGATGAATCTTTGATGTAGAAAGAACAATAAGACTTAAACATAAAATCTGCATTGGCATCATTATTTTTTTATATATATATATTATAACAGGTTTGTTAACTTTTTGCAAAAAACAAAACAAATCAACATATGTGACATTTTATAGCCTTATCAATTATTAGTGAAAGGTAATGTTTTGTTATTAGAGCAATAACAGCTTTCCTGTAATTGCTGACCAAGCTTCCACTGGTATTTGGAGTCTTTGAGGATGGAAGGCCTCCTTCCCATCACCCTAATCTTAAGCTCCCTCCAGAAAAGCAGTATCAAAAACATCGATATATAGTAAAATATTGGTCTAATAACATAAGAGTATTAAGGTTTTATATATATGAGGTATTTTACTCTACGCCGCTACCCTAAAAAGATCAAGGTCAGGTTCTGTGTGCTGATTCAGGCTGTGTAGTAAATTTACAGTCTGTTTACAGTGTTTACACCCACACGTCTCTACAGTGATGCAAAAACCTCTGATAACCAAATTAAAAGCTGTGCTAAAGGAAGTTACTTTTTTCCACCTCTAAAATAAGTGTTTTCTAATTGCCGATCTGATAAACTTCAGATCAAAAAAAAAAAAAAGACCCAGCGTTGTCACATGCACTACTGTGAAAAAAACAAAACATAAACACACTGGGCTATTTCTGACGCATTTTTTTCCATCAACAGAAGAAGTTCAAGAGGGGCTATGTTGAGCTGAGCCGCATCAAATGTGTGGAGATCGTGAAGAATGGAGGCGGGATCATCCCCTGCCGGAACAAGTACCCCTTTCAGGTAGAAAACAAGCACTTTGACATCGTTTTTTAACTCCGTCACGCATGATCGAAGCTGCTGTTTTTAGCACTTTCGAGAGAAGTTAAGAAAAGTTCTCCTGCCTCTGTGTCGATATGGATCTCTGATTGTGCAGCAGCTGCTGGGGGGGGTTGACATGCACCTGCTTTATACTACAGATGAGAGCTTCAGCTCATTGCAAAGATGAGGGGAACTGAACTACATTCACTCCCACACATCTCTTATGTAGTAACAACTGACAGCAGCGCATCGTTTTTCCATCCCTCACAGCTTTGTGATCTCAGTCACTTATCGCCAACCGACCTTATCAATCCCAAACTGTTTCTCTGCATTTCTTTTTTTTTATCCTATTTTTCTCTCCCTCTTCTTTGTTGCAGATTTGCTTTTATTTAAAGTTTAAACTCTCTGCCTAATCACAGCAACTTGCATTTCTTGTTAATTTTTAACTCTTTTGAAAGCAGCCGAGCATTGGGTTTAAAAACTGTAACCTTAGTCTTTGTTACACCTTCAATGATTTACCGAACATAAACCCCTCTGCGTTCGCAAGGCCTCGTTGTACTAAATGCTTTTCTGTGTCTGTGTTCAGGTGGTGTACGATACCAACACCCTGTATGTTTTTGCTCCGAGTCAGAGAAGCAGAACTCTGTGGGTCCTGATGCTTAAAAACGGTGAGTCTCTCTGTTTGGGTGAAGGGGAATAAAAAGAAGAAGGAATTGAAGGGAAAGTGTTGCAGATGAGTCATGAGAAAAACCAAGATGGCCGTCTTTCAGAGTGAGGGGTTGTTATGGATGCGTCTGTTCCTCGTCACATTGTTTGCCTCAGTAAAACCACAAATGCTGGAAGGTTCCTGCACTGCCTTGAAGTGTCTAGATTATTTCCAGGTCCAGATGAGTCAACCTTTCCCATCCATCCATTTAATGATCCGTCTATCTACCCATCCCTGCATGATTTCAGGAAAGCCTTGACTTACTTTACCGCTATGCAGTGATAAAACCATATTAGTTATGATTTAACTCCCATGATTTAACTTCCTGAGTCAGAGGCAGCGATTTGCAGGGACCTGCCCATCATGGAAACCATTAGAACAACTTAGAAAGCCTCATGTTTGCTAAAATAATAGAGAAGCATGATGGAAGTTTGCAAAGCTAAGATAACAACTAGGCATCCTGAACGTTCTGGATAAAATCCGGTGAAAGTCAACTGCCAGCCTGCTTTATACCAGCAATTGTTTTTAATCTATATAGAATAGCCAGACATATTTATGCATGAAAGCATTATGTATAGAAAAGTAAAATAAAATCAGCATTTAAGGTAAAAGGTCCCGTGAAGCATGGTAGGTGAGCAGTGGTAGTTTGGGCTTCTTTTGCAGCTATTAGACATGAGAATTTAGTAATTTTTTGTTTAAAAGAGAAATTTGTTGTCAAATCAATTGATTTGAGGCAATGCTTTCAAACACAGCAGATAATATACAACCCAATGGCTGAGAGGATCATTGTGTTGAACGGCCCAGTCAAAGTCCAAACCTCCAGCTGATATGTCTTGCCCTCTCCTAACCCTACCCCCGCCCTGATAAGGACCAGATGCTTCTCTTACTAAGTCCAGAAAAGCAGAATGTTGGCGCTTATAGCGGATGTTCTTCATGTTCTTGATCTGAGCAGCAAACACGTTTTCACACTTTGAACCGCATACAGGAGGCTGGTCCCTCTCTGCAGCCCCCTCTGTTTCCACTGCTCTGTGGCTCCCATTGTGTAACTTTGAGCAAAAAAGAAACAAACTCGACAGGAAACGGACCCTCTTATCTGCAGACTGATCTGGTGTGATTTTAAAAAAAAGAAAACAAAAAAGGATTTGGAGAAGGATAATTCTGTAAAAAAATCTTCTTTAAAGATGAAAGAAACTGGGATGCCAAAACAAACTGCACAAAGTAGTTTAGGACGACTCACAGAGGTTTAAGTAAATTTATTGTATGATCTTCAGATTGCTTTTAAAGATACCAAACAGAGGAAGATGATTTCACTGTAACACTACAAAAGCAAAATAGAAATAAGTGATAATTAAGTGCATTTACCCTTAATTTGAGTAGGTAAATAACAATATTTGCCAGTGAAATGAGGTATTCTACTCTTAAAATAAGTTAAATTGGATAATATGCACAGGCTCTGCACAGTGCTGCAGTGGGGAGCACTGCCTGAAGTTTCAGGGTTAGATTCCCAGCATTTCTGCATGGAGTTTGCATGTTCTCCCTGTGCATGTGTGGGTTCTCTCCAGGTACTCCTGCTTCCTCACACAAACCAAAAACATGACTGTTAGGATCTCTAAATTCTCCTTAGGTGTGAGTGTGTGTGAATGTTTTTGTTTTTTTTGTTTTGTTTTTGTGAATGTTTGATATAAGATGGAGCTTGGCCATTTAAGGCTCACATATAGAGCCTTAAATGGCCAAGCTCCATCTTATATCAGAGATCTGATTGTTCCTTATGTTCCTAACAGAGCACTTCGCTCTCAATCTGCAGGTTTACTAGTGGTTCCTAGAATTTCTAAAAGTAGAATGGGAGGCAGATCTTTTAGTTATCAGGCTCCTCTCCTGTGGAACCAACTACCAGTTTTAGTCCGTGAGGCAGACACCCTGTCTACATTTAAGGCTAGGCTTAAAACTTTCCTTTTTGATAAAGCTTATAGTTAGGGTGGCTCAGGTTATCCTGAGCTATCTCTATAGTTATGCTGCTATAGGCTTAGACTTTTGGAGGACATAGGGACCCCCATTTCATCATTCTGCTTCATTCTCTCTCTGTTCTCCTATTCTGCAGAATCTGTTAGTTCAATCTCTAACCTTCTGCTCTCTCTGCTTTTCCTCAGAGTAGCTTTGCCTCGTCTGTTCCTGTTTGGCTGTGACGCCATCCTGGAAAGAAACATCAGCTGTGCTGCTTCTATCAACACCCTTGTTTATAGATGTTGGAGATCGGCCTGTTTTCCAGTGTGGTCCTGTTTCTCTGACCGTGACTGAGTGGATGTGCTCTCTTCGTCCTCTGACATGGGAGCTGCCTTGGAGCTCGTCTGCCTGGCTGTGTGTTTCCTGGACGGGGCCGCCTTTTACAGCTGCTTTTTGTATCTCTGCTTCTGTCTCCTTGAACCCCAGTCGGCCTCGGCAGATGGCCGCTCACACTGAGCCTGGTTCTGCTGGAGGTTTCTTCCTGTTAAAAGGGAGTTTTTCCTCTCCACTGTCGCTACAAGCATGCTTAGTGTGGGGGATTGTATTTGAGTCAATGAGTCGATGCAATCAACTGGTTTTCCTTAGATAGAAAACTTTGTATCAATTTGACTGTATGATCTGGTTGAACTGTAAAGTGCCTTGAGATGACATGTGTTGTGAATTTGGCGCTATATAAATAAACTGAATTGAATTGAATTGAATCCTGTGTTGCCCCACTATGGACTGGGGTCTTGATGGACCCCATCGCGACCCCAGCAGGGATAAGCTTGATCCAAAATGGATGGATGGAGATAATATGCACCTGAAATAAGACAATGCAGTTGTTTTTTTCTTACTTTAAATGTAAATTGTCTCATTCCATTATTAAAATCTCTCACTTACCTTCACAATTCAAGAAAAATATCACTTATTTTAAGAAAAAAGTTAGATTTGAATTTTTTTCCAGTGAAAGATGTCAAAAGAAGACAGCATATGAAGGTTTTATTTTGCTTTTTGCTTCCTGTCTGTCTGCATCCAGAGATCCAAAACAACGCAGGAGTGCTGATGAAGTTTCACCCCCAGTTCTGGCTGGAGGGCCTGTGGCTCTGCTGTCGCCAGGCAGAAAAACAGGCCATGGGCTGCGAGGAGTACAATCTGTTTGGAGACAGTAAGACACACCTGCATGTGTAATGGGCTGAGACTGTTAACACTTCCTGTTTGACACCAGGCAGTTCAATCACTTTGAAAATGTTCACTCTATAAAAAAAATTCTGTTCGTATAGACCAGTGATTCCCCCAAGTAAAAAAATAATTTAAAAACGATTAGAAATAGCGACCGAACCTTGAAGACGGCGTTTAGTTCTAAGACGAATAACCACAGCTATCCAGTCTTTTTATGTGCTGGAGCCTGTGAGGGACCAAACTTAAATAAGGACAAAAGGTGTTCAAAATTTGAAAAAGTGCTTTCATTTAATTGTGTCAAAAATGGTTAACAAAGGCTGAAAAGCAATACTAGATAACTTAAATACAAAAATAACATGAATCTGGGCCCAACCTAACTGAGGATCCAACTCAAACAAACAAACTGACCTGCAAACAAAGAACTAAATGCTGCTTAAAAAGGGATGGAGTAACCCAAGTCTACCACATGAGGGAGGCACAATATAACAAAAGAACTAATAAATACAAAATTAACCATTCTATGAAACAAATAAAGCAAAACTAACTTTTAATTAGCAGAAACAATAAGTGAGTATTTAAGTGACAAACTAATTGAAACAAGTCTCCCCCGTCAGTCTTTCAAAAATGGTACGCTCCAGGTTTCCTCCTCCAGCTGGTTTGCATCAGCAGCACCTCAAGTGTAAATAAACCATTCAGACAGACATTAACTAAACTGTGCACCCATTAGAAAATACCTGTCTAAAAGAAATAACCAACGTAAACATAAACTGTAATATAATATAAAGCAAGAAACAAAAAAAATACTAACACGATGTGGTGCTGGGAGGATCATCCACCACAACGTTTGGCACTACCTACTTGTGCGAAAAGACTTTCTCGGCGCTGACGTACCTTAAAAATAACTACAGATCGCGACTGAATGTGGAGGGTGATCTCAGAGTAGAGGTCTCCAACATTAAACCATTGGACTTGCTCCAAAGATATTCCACATCCATCTCATTAGGTGCGGTTAAGTTCAAATTCAAGTATTGAGTAAATGAGTGTAGAATAATGTTATGGCTGTTGTGTAATTTTGTGTTGTCATTATGGTCATGTTTGGATAGTATGGGGCCAAAATTGTTGCTTTATTATTTACAAATGTGTGTGGAGAGTTGTATATCTATATCTCGATTTGTGCGTGTGCAGGGGGAGTTGAAAATGTGTAAATGAAACTGTAAATGTGTGTCTGTACAACAATCTGCAAATGTGCAAAACTACTTGTGTGTGTGTGTAATCTGGTTTGCAAATGTGTAAAAAAATCCACAAATCTGTATTCAGATCTATTGGAGATACAGATATACAACTCTCCACACACATTTGTAAATAATAAAGCAACAATTTTGGCCCCATAGGATAGGCCTTTAGTGCGTGCGCTGTTGCGCTCAGTGTTTATATATGTTTATACTGGGAGGGTCGCAAGAAACTTGCACCGTTACTTTGGGGGTCGTGGCGTGAAAGTTTTAGTAACCCCTGCTATACACTGTTGGCACAGATGGATACATTTGAAGTTCTTATTTCTGTCTGGGGGGGGGGGATATGCTTATCATGCTTTCCAAGCAAATTAATAGAAATTTGTGTTGAAGGAAACCATTAGAAATATTTGGCAGATGAGCTAAATGGTACAGTCCTTTAGGTGAGACCCTCTATCAGAAGGCAAGGACGGAGTGTTTCTTACTGCTCCAAGTTCTCGCTCTCAGACTGAACTAAATTCAGCTTTTCGTTTGAAAAAAATAACGTCCCAAAGTTAAAGGAACTTGTGGATTATATATATATATATATATATATATATATATATATATATATATATATATATATATATAAAAAAGAAATCTGCTGCAGCTGATGCTTGTTTACCAGCAGATGCCTGTCTGATTGGGCTTCAACCCACAAACATCTAAACTACAAAAAAAAACTGCTTTAATGTATGTTCGCTGTTAATTATCAGCTAATTACGTCCTTCCCAACTTTTCTAAAGATATATATTCTTGCCCTCCAATTTTTCATTTAGATTTTTTATTCAGCAAAAACTACCTCTACACTGTTGGGGTTATAAAATCTAACGATTTCTTTTTAAAACTTAGCATTAAGAAAGTTAATGAAGTCCAATATATTACCTATGTGATGTTTTTTTTGTTTTCAAAATATTGAAATATGGTTTATAAAAGTCCCTGTTTTTTAGTTTGGGATTCATGTCTGTTTTTAAACATATTTTCAACCTTTACAGAATTTCTAAACTGTGAATTCATGTTCAAAACATGTATTTAGCAGCAAAAGCTTGAGTGTTATGGCAGAGGTAATGATTTACTTTAACAGGATATTGTTAAAATAGAAAAGTCTTCTTTTCCTCCAAATGCAGAGTCCTATCTTCAGTTTTCGGTTAAAGTAGAAAGTTAGCCAACAGCTGAAGAAATTGTGCAGATCTAACATGTTTTTGTTCCTCCTTTCTAGTCACCAGGAAACCTTTGCCTCCACTTCCTGTGGAGGGAAATAATGTGAGTAACCAGCAGCACTCAGGCTGAATCAGGCCAAAGGGAGACGCTGAGACGAGTTCTCTGTCCTGTCCTTCCCCCTGCAGCGCCGGCATCGTCCTCCTCCCATCCCACAGGACGGGGATGATATAGACGATGATGACGACGATGATGACGACGAGGAGGAGGACAAGGAGGAAGAGGAGGTTGTGGTGGCCCTGTACGATTTTCCAGGATTGGAGCCGCACGACCTGAAACTGGTCAGGGGGGGCGAGTACGTCCTTCTGGAGAGGTGTGACGCCAACTGGTACAAGGCCCGCAATGAGTACGGGTGAGTGTTCAGACGCTGGAAACACTTTTTCATTGTGCTGTCATATGTCAGAGGACACAAAGTCAGTCATTCTAGCCCTCAGGTTGTTTCAGAAACTTCCTGTTTGGGAATTTTTGTCATACAACCTTGGAAAATCCAAAGTACATCCCATGATTTAGCAGCACTTGGGTCAGTAGTAAGAACTCTACCCAAGTTAGGAAAGGAGATCCAGGCAGCTTTCAGCCTTATGGACGTCATTACATGACAGATGCATATAAACATGGGCGGTTTTAGGCAGGGGCCTAAAGGGGCCAGTGCCCTGGCAGACCTGCTCCTGGCTCCTGTTAACTCTGTATAGAGGCTTTGACTAGGCAGGATGAGTAGATCTGTGCAGATTTTTTCCCTTCTGCCACACAGTGAAAATTTCCCACATTTGACATGGACACATTATCAAATGTCTTTAAAACTAAATAATAAATAAACCACTGGCTTAACGAGACTTAAAGGTACACTATGCAACCGGTGTTGATTTTCCAGCGAGGCTCCCCCCAGAGGGCGAAAGTAAAAGTGCACTGTCGTAAATATGCACAGCTGTTCTCCTGGTTTCTCCGTCAAGCCAGGCGCGGTTGTTTTGAGCTTAGCAGACAGGCGAACGCAACGAATGACTAACACAGTGAAAGTATGAACATGCACACAGAGAGAGAGAAACAATGTTACCTACAATCGCATCAGCAGAAACACGAGGTCCGCGTCAGCCTTGCAGCCTTCTTTTTATTTTAGCTCTCGCCATTTGGAAAAAGCTTGCCCGATGTTCACCCGTGTACGACTCCTCTCTCTGTCCGGAGCCCTTTTCCTCTTTCTTGCCTGCTCCGAGCTGAGCTTTCGCTGTTTTAACGCTGGTTCCACCATGATAAATGCACAAAGATCGCCACTGTGCTAGCAACGAGCATGCTTTTAACTAGGGGCGTGTAGCAGTTCTCGCCGTAAAGCAAGACCGACTCTCGCGAGACTTCTGAGCCTGTGGGTGCGGGCCAAGGGCTCCTGCAATTGCAAGTGCAGTATTTCCCCCCACAGACCACCAGGGCGGCCGAGAATACCTTTGTTCAATCTGAAATGACTCATTTAATCATCCAAAACGTTATGGAACACATTAATTAACTGAAAAATGTTGCATAGTGTGCCTTTAACATGGCTGTGCAACATCTCAAACCAGAGCAGATCATTTTTATAGGCCTATATTAAAAAATATAATTGGAATATATGACGACTGAGGCAGTGAGGGAACTTTCAGAGAAATATCTGGGTAGTTTGTTGGAGATTTGTGTTTGAGTTTGTCAAAGTTATTATTTTTCTTGAGGAGAGTTATAAACTGCGATTTCCATCCCTCGTTGTTTGTGTGAGACTCAAAGAGGATCACTGTTTTTATCTCTTTCCTGTCCTCCAAAACTCCCATCATAGATAAAGTATTCTATTTTTTTGTTTCATTTATTGTTACAGGTCTGTCCCCCATGCTTTATATTCGCTGTACGACTCCAAATCTGACTGTTTCAATGTGCGATTAACAGATAATAATTTTCCGCCAAAGTCGATGTGTATTACTCTTTAACTGCGTCTCTCTTCCTGTCAGACTCATAAAATTACTGCTGAATTGCTGCGGTCTATCTCAGTCAGAGCTACGCATTACCCCTTGCGTAAAATCGTGTCAGCTGTAATCATCCCCATTGACTTGAACGCTAAACGCCACGACCTCTTCCCACACGATTTTCTGTTGTATTGGACGCAAAATCGGATTCCTTGTGTTCATCGCTTTAGATCCCATATAATAAAAACATAAACTACAAACATTAAAATATAAATATATATTTTTTTTGCTATAAGTGTTTTTTTCGTTGATTTGAGCCGATAGGTTAAACGGTTTTTAGACAGAAAATAATTTATATTTTACATTAGAAATATAAGTCTACCTTTATTTAAAGGACTATATCTAATTATTTAATTTTAAGGGCAAATACACTAATTTATTGGCAGAAAATCTGATCTACCTGCTCAACTGAAAGGAAAATATGCTGATTTCAACAAATCGTAACTTTTACCTAGTTTTTGCACTGTTTTTTTAAATCAATATCTTATGATGAAATGCACAGAGAGAAGACTATAACTGATTCTTCCAATGGAATAATGTAATGTAGGCCTTTTACAATATACTTTAATAATTCTTTAGACATTACAGCCAGCTTTAAGTTTCAGTTGCATTAAGATAGTATCAGAGTTTTCATCCCTTAGATCAGGAGTCTGAAACCTTGGCTTTGTGGCTCACTTAATATACCAAACAAAAAAACCCTCTTTCCCTGGTTTGTCCTTTTTTATGCATTTATTTTTTTTTGCGCTATATGCCCCCATTAAAAAAATAATGGCCCCCCATCTGACTGCATTCTGGAGGAGCTCTGCTCCCCTCTGCTTCATTCTGCTTCTGCAGTTCTTTATATTTTGCAAACATTTGCAGAGATCCCAAGCATTCTGATTTCAGCGTAAAAATTAGGATTTGGGGTTGCTGATGAATTATTAAAAATTCCTTAATGCTCTCTCTGTCCTCCCTCTTTTTCTGATTTGTGGATAACCTAATAGTACTGAGTGTTATTATATATTTTACTTTTTTTATATTCTTCTATTGTATTTCTTGCTTTACAGTATTCTTTATGCTTATTCCATTAAATCTGATTCACATAGGATCAGTTGTGCAGCCTAATTAATGTAACTGTTAACGTTAACATTTTAGGATTTTTTTTTTCTTACTGACGTAGAGGTGAATTTACTTTGTTTTTCCGTAGTACAATCAGTGTTCTAATAGAAAATGATTTAAAAATTGTTTGTTTTGTTGAGATTCCAGTTTAAGTTTTTGTAGATTTAGTGATCTTCCACACTTTTTAGATCCATGTCACAACATCGGATAAAAATCAGTAGGATTTGGGGTCGCCCAAGGTTGGCATCTGTTTTTTGACCCTGCAAAGCCTCCATTGAGGTCTTGGCACAACTTTTCGCTCATGTTAAGGTTTTGACTACATTATTGTAACACTTTAGATCTTCACTTCAGTGTAGATGTGCTGCTGTGTTTTGGAATCTTTGCCCTGTTGATGATCCAATTTGAATTAAGCTTCAACGCACAAAAAAAGTCAATTTTCCTTGAAATAATTGTATATATTTTTGTTAATCTTGTCTTTGAGCAGATAATGAAGACTATTTAAAATAAAGCAAGATAGTTTACAAGTAAAAATTGAAATTAGGAACAAACTTACATGTAAATACTATGTTATCTTGTGTGAATAACATCTATTGTTCTTATTTTAAGGTAGAAATACCCATTCCTTTGGCTGATCATCTTCATTACCTGCTCAAATTAGGAGCAAATACACTTTTTTTTTTTTAAGATTTAAAGTTTTCCTTATTTTCAGATTAGACTGACCCATTTGGTGAGCTGAATATTACATTTAGGGTTTCTCATACATCATCTGTTTTTTGGAGATGGTTGGCGTCTTCCTCTGAGTAATTGTCCTCTTTGAAGAACGATGCACTTTAGATTCTTTGGAAATTGCCTCATAATATTTTTCCTTGATTTAAGAACTGCTATAGTTGCTTCCCCTTAATTAGGAAATCGGAGAACTTTTAGCACAAGTCATCCTCTCCTGCTGAGCTGCAGGGTTTATGAAACTGTTTGCAAAAGTTTGCTCCAGAAACATAATTTATGCAGTTTGGTTTTGCACACTTTACAAAAAACAGCTTGTTTGGGACTCAAACTTGACAAAGTGAGTTTCTCATGTGTTTTAGATGCAAGTTTAATTTCTATTCTAAACTATAATGGTGATTTTTTAAATTTTTTTAAGCTTCAGTTCTTGCAGTTTAATTAAAAACCTGAACATAAGTCATAATAATGTTATGGAGGCAGATGATGTCTTCCCAGATTTAGGTATGCATGGCTACTTACTGCATTACATCTTTTCCCGAATACCTCAGCAGGATGAACTCTGTGCTCTCAATTAACTGTGTAAAAATTCAATTGTGTGCACCAATTTTTTTTGGTCTGGCACCGATTTTCTTTTTTACACCAGGTTTATCTCTGTGTTGTTTCACAGGGAGGAAGGCTATATCCCAAGCAACTATGTAACGGAGAAGAGGTCCGGGAACCTGGTGCAGTACGCGTAAGTGGGCTAAAAGATTTCCTGGTACAAAGTTGAATCATGCTGCCGTATTTAATCTTCTCTGCATTTTTGATTAGTCATTAACTTCATAAACGCACTCTGCTTGTGGCTGCAACAAGAAAAGATCAGATCTATCAGTTATCACCTGGAGGAGTGCTATAAGGCGGCCTGACGGCTAAACGAACTGACAAACAGAATGTTGTGGTTTCACTGCAAGTCTTCTTTATTTAGAGTTGATATAGGTGAATAAAAACTGCACACAAACCAGGTCAGAAAAAAACCCAAACCTCTAGCTGAACCTAAGCAGTTTCAAACTATTTGCTATTTAATGTTTTAAAGTGGAGGGTAAAGCAGATTTTAAGGACGACTGAGCACAGCGGAGGATCTACCCTAACGCTGTTGGATTGCATGTGGCATCATGGACTCTGCCACTGGAAAAACAATCTAAAAATAAGTACAAATTTCTTAAATTAAGTGTATTTACCCTTGATCTGAGTATGTAAATGAGATAGTTTGCCAATGGAATCAGTATATTTACTCTTAAAATAAGATAATTAGATATTATTCATTTGAAATAAGACAATGCAATTGTGTTTTCTTATTTTAAATCTAAATTGTCCTGTTCCATTGGCAAAATGTCTCTTTTATCTCCTCAATTCAAGAATAAATGCACTTATTTTAAGAAAAAAATGACTTATCTAGATTTTGATTAAATGGGTCATCAATGGATCTTCCAGCAGAAAACATTAATGGGTCACCAGACGCTAAACCTTCCTAATGTGATAACCGCCTTGGTCAACATGGCCTGAAAACTGCAGAGCGGAAACAGCAGGGGTGCCAATCATTTTGGCGCAGTTGTTTTTATTTGTTATGTTTTATTTTTTAATGCTTTGTGTTAAACCTTAAGTAAATTTATGGATTGATAATAAAGGTGTTTCATAAATGTCCCCACTCTCACTTTCCAGTAACTGATCAGATAAAACCAGGAGAGGCTGGTTTAAACATTAAAAAGTCAGTATTATTATTTTATTACCTTAAAGCGGTGATTATCCTATCCAGTAACTGTAGAGAACTTTTCCTCATAGTTATATTTTTATATTTGTTTGTCTGCCTGCTGTACTTTTTATTACATTCTGGGGCCTAATTTCAGGGAAAATGGCACATTGTGGGGACCGGCTTCTCCTCGTGGGGCCCAATGCCTGGACCCCTGTTTTTGGGTCAGGGGTCAAGTTTAGGACTGAGGTGTTAGGGTCACGGTTAGGCTGTAGAGATGAATGGAGGTCGATGGAAAGGCCCCACAAAGATCATGAAACAAGTTTGTGTGAGGTGTATTGCTTCAGTTTCAGGGGCCCTCACACATGACTATATTTCGTGTCATTTTTTTAAAAAAATGTTTAACTCCATCCTCTGGCCTGCTGCTCTAAAAATGTAGACCTTATATTTTTTTTCCTGATTTGTAAACTCTCTAAAGTAGTTTATCTTCATACAGAAAGGTGATTTAGTTAATCTTAGGACCCGTTTTCTTTAAAGATGGTTGAGGTAAATTATTTTGTGTTTTCCTGTGGTTTTTAGTGCAAAAACTACACACAGGAACCTGTATGTGTCTCAGCTGCACAGAGAGATGTGTTATTGGTTTAGTGGCTCACCTTTCTGCTATTCATTGTTATTCAGCATGTTTTTTTTAATTAAAAACCACAGCAATCGCATATATTGTGAAGTTTTACTTGATCTATTCACTCACAGTTGTTTAGTTGACTTAATGTAATGTTGGGGTGATGTTTGTTTCAGATGGTTCAGTAAAGATGTCAATAGGAACATGGCTGAGGAGCTGCTGAGGAAAGAGGTCAGTCTTTATTCCTATTTATTCACTTTCTTTTTCCTAAGCTTAAAACCTTTCTGTTTTCTGTCCGTAAAGATCAAACAGGAAAAATCTTGTTCTTGTTAATCTGATCTCTTAGCAATTACCCTGAATAAACTTTTTCGCCTATTTGCTATTAGTACAGTTGATATCAACAAGGTAACTCAACTCTGAGGTAATTCTGATTAAAGTTGAGGGAAAGCGGGCGCATAATATGAAGCCGTCATTAATAAAATTTAGAAAACAAATCACATGGCAACAAGAGGAAATGAGAAGCCTCAAAGGGCCCATTTCTAACCAGTGGAACTCAAAATATGTTTAACAGAGAAGACGATAGTGTTCTTACTGCAAAATAAGAAGATTAAGCATGGCAGACCTGCATGAGTCTTTTTAATAGAACATTTAAGTATATATATAAAATTAAATAAATAACCTGGAACTAGCAATAAATCTTGATTAAAAAAAAAAATCCAATAAAATCCGGCCTATTTATCAGTTATGTTGAACCTACAGTAGTACCTACACCAGATAAATCATCCAGCCATCCATTGATTTAGTATAAAAAAAAAGTAAATAATACGAGTAGTTATTGCTTGGAATCTCAAAATGTGACACATATGGCTGCTTAGTGATGAAGAGAAAAAAAGTCTTAATGAGCGCTTTTACCTCAGCCTGGATTCAACCCCCATGTACTGCAGGTAAGGATCCTCTCCACCAATGAAGAACAGACATGATGGATGAATCATCACTGATCTAATGGGAATCTGAATAGTCATGATTTAGTCTTCTCTCCCTAAAATTTTGCCCATCGGAATAAAAACCAGGAGCTAGTCTGCTTAATTTTATTGAGATAAACATTTGACTCTGGTTAAGAATGGTGATACTAAAAAATCTGGAATAAAAAACATATCTGCTTTCCAAAAGTTCTCCAACATCTACAGGCTCTTCCATAAAGACATTCTGACCCTTTTCCCATCTCAGATATCAGCTCAAATGTGCAACAGACTCAGGATGAGTTCAACAAATCCTGCCTCTTGCCCACTCATCTCTATTTTTTCACTGGAAGTCACCTGCCGCCATCTTGGTACTCCCCACTCTCACTGAGTTGCACCATAAAAATGCCTGTAATGTCATGCAGTTGCCATAACAATGTAATCAATTTATGTATATCACATCTACATCATCAATTTAGCACTTTTGGCACATCATCAGTGTGTTTGCGTGTGTAATATTCCTAATATCTGACTATAGTATTATTATGCTCCATTAACACACTGAGTTTGTTGTGATGGATTTCTATCATATGTTATATTACATGATTTATTGACTTCATACTGAATATGTAACATGATGTGAATATTTTTTACCATAAATTACAGGAATCTACTTATGCAAAGAAGATATTTATGCTAAGAATCAGCCAGTGTGTGTCAAAGTGATAACTTTAACTTAATTTTAAAAGTCTTTACCCCTCCTGAAAATGAGACCATCATCATTGTTCGATGCTGTAGCGCACGTCTTGTTTACTGGTGACTTCACCACACCGAGTTCTACCAATGGCCCATCAGCAATCCAGTGAATAATCTTTTCACAGAATAACTTGCAATATAAACTTGAATTCCAGACGACGGCTAGTCAGCGTTCTGAATCCAGATCTCATGTTGCTTTCTAAATCTCTGCCTGGTTGTCCAGCGGGTGTGTTTCCGATCGTTTAGCTGCTGAACGCAGTGATTCAGTTGGTTTGAAGTTAAATAGATGCATTAAAACATGTTAAGCTCCTCTCTGTGTGTTTTGTCGCCCCCCGCAGGATAAAGAAGGCGCCTTCATTGTCAGAGACTCAAGCCATCCCTCAACCTACACCGTGTCTCTTTACACCAAAGCTGGATCAGGGTAATGATCTTTATTACTTTTATAAACCTTAGTAAAGGCACATGTTCATCCATCTCTAAAGGCCTTTATTTCCTTCTTCATTTTTACCTTTGCCCTTATTAGTTTCATTGTTTTGGGCATGTTTGCTTTGGCTCTTACCAGGGGCGTGTCCAGACATTTTTGATAGGGGTGGCACCAGGTGGGCACTGACTTATGCAGGGGTGGCATGAAGTATGAGCAGGACCGCCTGCGCACAGACATATACACTCACATATGCACGCACACATGCACACAAGAAAATACACACCCACACCTAGACTTTGGTATATATATATATATATATATATATATATATATATATATATATATATATATATATATATATATATATATAGATATATATATATATATATATATATATATAGATATTTGCTTGATGAAACTGTGCAAAACTTGGTAGAGGTACAGACTGTACAAAACAAATATAGCTTACCTTACCAACATAAGTAAATAATGCACATTTAAAAAAAAAAACCTATAAAGTTTTTAAACACCAGTATTATTGGTATCCTGATCTAAATAAAAGCAGATACTGTGATGTTAATTTAAAAAAAGGTAAAGCATACATACTATGCTGCATGTGTGATGGTGAAGGGCCCTCATCACAAGAATCTTCACCTGATTCTGCAATAACACATAGGTTGTCATTAGAATGAAAATGTGCCTAAGTATATTATACTTCATACTAAAAATGAATTGTTAAGACATACCAATAGGTCCCGGCTGGCTATAAGAGGCTCCCACACCACCATCCCCCTGTGGATGGCCTGCAAGAACCTCAGCCCTGGACACACCTGTAGCAATACAAAGATTTTATCAGTTCACTAAAATTCAAATTGTCACATTTAGGCTTTTCACACCAGTATTGTTTAAAAATTGTCTACACACTTAATGACAGTATATGACACTGTAGTATATTTGAAATATCTCAGTTCGAATCAATGCACATAATGTTTTAAAGAAGGTAAATTCATACATACCCTGATGTGTATGTGATGTTGAGGGTGACTCTATAATAATACATAAGCTGTGATTAGAATGATAATACAATCAGCCTTTCCAAAGTAAACTAAGAGGTATGGTACAATCAAACCAAATTAGTAAGTTCAAACATGAGAACAAACTTGAACTATCAGGATTTCACATACCAATGTGTACAGCTGAGGCTGAAGGCTGGCTCTCATCCTGTGACTGACTGCTCTGCCCCTGCTCTGGCTCTATCTTAGATTTCTTCCTTGCGAAGAAATCTTTAATATTCTGACTTCTTTTCATACTGTAATAGTTCCATAATGCACGACATTCTTATATGTTGTACAATAAATAATTGTGCACACACAAGAATGAAAATGAAATGTAAATGATGTTATAGGGGTCTAATATAACAGTTTTACTCAGTACAGAATAGCTAAATGTTAGCGTTAGCATCGTTGACAGTCAAAACAGTGTTTTCTAACGAGATGAGGAGACGACAGCCGTGTGCCAATTACAATAAAACAAATAAAACAAGACAGGGTACATGTTTAGCTTATTACCATTACAGCTTCTAACTACAGGCACAGTAAGTGTAGTAAAATGTAGGCTACTCACATATTTCACAACGTCGCGCCAGAGACGTGCTGCTTTCTGATAGACTGGAGAATGTATTCACCTGTAGGTTCATCAACGTCTTCTTCGTGCCTTCTTCAACTTCAACACAAAACAAGAGCGCATTTTACGTTCAGTGCAGTGGCCCGCCTCTGACTGGGCATATAGCCAATCATATTTTAAAATTTTGGGGTGGCACTTGGGGTGGCCAATCAGATTTCAGGGGTGGCCTGTGCCACCCAAGGCCACTCCCTGAACACGCCAGTGGCTCTTACCCCGAACCCTACTTTCCAGCATTTGTTTTGGTTAAGAAGTGGGGTCAGGGGGGGGGATTTACCATTAGGAAGTACTAGGCAGTTGGCTAGGGCCCCAAGTTCCATAAATTTCTGATTCATGTATAGTTATTATTCCTTATTTGTGCACATTAATTGTGTTTTTGATAAAAAAAATCCTTTGGCTGAAATGCCATCATAACACTTATGATATTAAGTGTGTCTCTGCCACCCGGCCTTCAGTAGGGGTGTAAATCACATCCATCATGGCGATTCGATTCAGTATCGATTTCCTGACCCAACGATTCGATTATTTTCGATAGTCAACAATACACCACAATTCGATTAATTGGTTCATTTTTTTCTTACAGGCTAGACAATGTTTCAAAGTTAAAATAAATCAATGAAAGCTGTAATATCGTTATGCATTTTTTATTTTTTTTTTGAGAAACAACAGCAAATAACAGAAGTAGAAAAGTTGCGTCAAAAAATATTGCACAAAATCAGTGCAATGAGTGCGATGCAATACCTCGGCTCCAGACGTCCCCCCCCTCCACAGACACTCCGCTGCACCTCTCCAAAACTGTAGCTGACCACAGACAGGAGGCCGGCTTGTTTTGTTTTTATGACAGAAATTGCGAAAAAACAACTTGTGAAGTTTGACCCGCTAGAAGAGCGAGATGCGCGAGACCGCTGGGACCCTTTTTCCACCTGGATCTCCGCTCTTTTTGGCCCTCATGTCCCTCCATCGTCGGACTAAACTCGCCCCCACTTCCTCACCCCCACAGTGTGTAGCGCAGACCACGCTTCAATATTGAGCATAAATCAAAAATGTCTGTGTCAAGCTCACTGTGACACACTGCTTATTTACACTGGGTTATTTACTTTTGCACAGGAAGGGGCAATCAGCTAAGTGCTTACTGATTGGAAAAATCTTTCATTCCTTTAGAGACAGTATGACAAGTCTGCTGAGTACAAAACATAGAGGAAAACAACAAGAAAGAAGAAAGAGAGGGACAAAACAGAGAACAAACAATGTATGTCTATTCTATTAACATTTCTAGGCCTGCCTGTCTTTGCCTAGGGCCCCAAATTTCCTAAATCCGCCCCTGAGTGGGGTCATACAGGTTTAATCTGTTTTAGGTTCTATTTGTTTTCTGACTGGTCTTTATTAATGTGTCCTTTTCATTCTAACAGGCTGTTGTTAAGGCCGCTTGGCCTCAAACAGATTCTCTCCTAGAACTTTCCTCTTTATAGCTACATCCAAAGAAAAAATCCCCACAGCATGATGCTGCCACTGCTGTCCTTCACTTTGTATAAAGAGTGTTAGTTCCCTCCTCACATAGTGTTTTGTTTATTGGCCAAAAAGCTCAACATTAGCGTGGTCTAAACAGAGATATTTTATTCACGTTATTTGCATCCCTGCTAGCTTGTAGAAAACTGCTTTATTTTCAACTTGCCTTTTGTTCTTTAAACTCTCTTTGTGTTTCTCCATTAAAACCAGGATAGATGAAGGTTCAGCTAATAGTTTTCCTGTAAACAGGTTCCTACATGAGCTGTGGAGCTCAGCAGCTTCTTCAAGGTCATATTCTTCCATTTTGGTTGTTTTCTGGATTAATGCTTTTCTCGTTCAGTCTTCAATTTCCTAGTTGGTCCATCTTGATATTTCTATTCAGTAGATTATTGAATAGAGCCCTCTGAGAAGTTAGGATGTTATTTTATAGTCTAAACATGAGTTAAACTACATATTTCCCCATTAACTGCTTTGTTCTTGGTCTTCATGATGCTGTTTGGTTCTAGTACACCTCTGACTGAAATAGTTACTTTATTTAAAGGTACCAGAGTAAAGACAACGTAATGCATCATTTTACTGAAATTTGGTCTATGACATCAAATAAATATCAGTATAATAAAATGCTTAAAGGCTTTTCATCGTAAAGTCAAAATTATGAAAAAGTTGAAAAGTATAAACCCTTTATTATATCAATATTTTTTATTCCTTGCTTTGAATCTTCAAATTTGATAAATGGTCATTAAATGTAAATGCAAATATTTACATAAAAGCAAAATAAATCAAAGCATGATGATTTTATGAGTGAATCTATATTAATTTTGTTTTAATAAACATACTTTAATGTTCATGTATCCAGTACGTTGTGGGTTTAAGTAAAGAACCTGTTGGCAATTTAAGTTGACTTAAAAGGATAGTTCGGTATTTTTGACATGAATCTGTATGGCATCCTCATCACCAGCGGCATGCAATCACACTGACTTACCCCTGGCAGCGTCCTGTGAGCAGAGTTATCGTCCACTTTTGGTCAAGCCGAAAGTAGTCCTGCAGGTTTTTAGGTACAGCGAAATAAAACTTTTCTCTTCCCAAAACATTATGTGTTCAAAAGAGCGATATTTTCGCATCCCAAAAACATTGTAGTTGAAAAAGTCACACGTCGTTATCAATTGGTCCTATTTTCTCTCTGTTCGTATCAGTGCGCGCCGTCATTCAGACAGCGAGCCCAACAACAGCCATGTCTCCTTCCGCCGCGGAGGGAGACATGGCTGTTGTTGGGCTCGCTGTCTGAATGACGGCGCGCACTGATACGAACAGAGAGAAAATAGGACCAATTGATAACGACGTGTGACTTTTTCAACTACAATGCTTTTGGGATGCGAAAATATCGCTCTTTTGAACACATAATGTTTTGGGAAGAGAAAAGTTTTATTTCGCTGTACCTAAAAACCTGCAGGACTACTTTCGGCTTGACCAAAAGTGGACGATAACTCTGCTCACAGGATGCTGCCAGGGGTAAGTCAGTGTGATTGCATGCCGCTGGTGATGAGGATGCCATACAGATTCATGTCAAAAATACCGAACTATCCCTTTAAGTTGGCTAGTAAAAATCTGAACTTTTCAACAAAGAAAAAAATGATTATTTTCAGCTTTTTTTCTTCTTTTTTCTGTGTTTTAGGGAGGGACGTCCAATTATTAAACATTATCACATCAAGCAGACCCGAGGCCCGCCCAGACAGTATTACCTGGCTGAGAAACACCTGTTCAACTCCATCCCTGAACTCATTGAGTACCACAAACACAATGGAGCAGGTAACTCCACCACCAGGGCCTTTTCACGTATGAAAAGTGCAAGTGCTGAGATAATTGCAGAGTTCATTGCTTCGATTTAGTCGATTTTGGATCGATTCCTTTACATTTTTGCCAAATCAATGTCTAGATCGATCGTTTTATAGTGACACGCATGATGTTCACAATCAAATGAGCAGGAAAGATTCACTTAAGATTACTTCAAGCCAGACAGGTGCAAATATAGACATTAACAAACGGGGCTGACCAGCAAAACTCTGTAGTTGTTACAGACAATTCTGCAAGTGTGGTTTGTACAGTGGAGATAATGCAACTCACACGTCTGCTGTGTCCCTTCTGTGTCACGTCTGCTTGCTCGAGTGAAGCTTCACTTCACTTTTCACAATTAAGTTTGCACTTTTGAGACCGTTTTATTCACATCTCAAGTTTAAACTGTTTGGAGCATTTTGAAACACAGTTGAATCACTTTCATTATTGTAAAAACAGATCGAATCGAATTGAATCGATTTACAACTGTATGAATCAAAATCGAATCGATTCAGGACTTCGGCGAAAACACCCAGCCCTATCCATTGCTGTCATTTGATGGTTTTGGTCAGAAGGAGGTTGATTAGATTTTGTAGAACCGGATCAGTTTGGATTCTGGTCCTGTTTGAAATTTAGATTTTTTATTACCGTATTTTTTGGTTGGGAACATAAAGGTGGAAAGAAAAAAATACAACTTTTTCACTACCTTTCAGAATATGAGAGTATTCTGGTTGGGAATACCTATCCTCCTATATAAAATATAATATTCTTTAACAATGGTATTCTGCATGGGTCAGTATGCATCAGATTCATACAAAATACAATCACGGCAAAGTGATTAAGTATTTTTGATTTAACACTGCTGATTTATTATTCCCTAATTATGCCAACTTGTTTTTATTTTATCTGTTACTAAGAATCCTTAATAAATCTTATCTTTACCATTTTCTCAATGAGACTTATGGTCAATTTAATTAGATGCTTAAAGTTAAATTTTGACTTCTTTAACTCTGTATCTCTATTGTTAAATAGTAGCTAATTTGTCGCTTCTGTGTGAATTTGTTCTTTTTCAGGTCTTGCAGCCAGGTTGAGGTATCCTGTAGGCAAGCAGGACAAGTCGGCTCCGTCAACAGCAGGCTTCAGCTACGGTAAGCACTCGCCTGACCTGATCAGCTTCGTTTAAAGGGTACTAGTGGCTTTTATTTTAGAGTTTATCAGACGGACAAGGGATCAGATCAGAGGATAAAAAGGGAAGATTTGCAGAAAACCTTCAAAGCCAGGAACAGTAAGAAGAGCCATGTGGAAGTCCTGTTAGCTGCTGTGCACCATGCAATGCCACAGAGTATTTTGGATTAACCTGCAAATCCCTTCTTATAACCTTTGACCTGTCTATGCAGAGATGTGGGAGATCAACCCAAGCGAGCTAACCTTCATGAAGGAACTGGGCAGCGGTCAATACGGCCAAGTGAGGCTCGGCATGTGGAGAGCTCAGCATAAAGTGGCCATAAAGGCCATCAAGGAGGGAGCCATGTATGAGGAGGACTTCATTGAGGAGGCCAGACTCATGATGTAAGAACCAGTAAACAGAGCAGTCAAGAGAAAAACTGGAAAACAGTAGTGACTAAATGAACTATAGTCGCCATCTAGTGGTATGTGGGAAGTATTACAACTAAAAACTTTTACAAACCATAAAAAATGAGAACCTAAACAATAAAATTTGATTATTTTGAAACAACTAATGGTAGTGACTAAAATGAACTATAGTCGCCATCTAGTGGTATGTGGGAAGTATTACAACTAAGAAAACTTTGGCAAACCATAAAAAATGAGAACCTAAACAATAAAATTTGATTATTTTGAAACAACTAATTGAACCTCCATCTTTAATAATAGTTTATATTCTTTAATAAGCGATCAAAGACATCCATTTCTAAAACTAAGCCTTTGTTATTCTGCCTACTCTACAGGAAGCTGTCCCATCCCAAGCTAGTGCAGCTGTATGGTGTATGCAGCCAGCAGAGGCCCATCTACATCGTCACCGAGTTCATGCAGCAAGGCTGTCTGGTGAACTTTCTCAGGCAGAGGCGAGGCAGCTTCAGCTTGGGGTCCTTGCTGAGTATGTGCCTTGACGTCTGCGAGGGCATGGAGTACCTGGAGGCGAACAGCTACATCCACAGAGACCTGGTACTACGCTGTTTTTTTCACCTGCACCACTGCAGCTGCTTTACCTCAGAGATGTATTGTTTTTGTCAGACATGTATGAAATGTTCTTTGTTTCTTGAAGGCTGCCAGGAACTGTCTGGTGAATGACGCTCTGGTGGTAAAGGTATCAGACTTTGGCATGGCCAGGTAGGAGTCCGTATTTGGTATGATCCTGCTTTTATTTTTACTGAAGTATACTTTAAACAAATCTGAATTCATTAAACGCTGCCTGTTCAGGTACGTCTTGGATAACCAGTACACCAGCACAAAAGGCGCCAAGTTTCCCGTGAAGTGGTCTCCTCCTGAGGTCTTTAACTACTGCAAATTCAGCAGCAAATCAGACGTCTGGTCGTTTGGTGAGGACCTTGATGCATTTTAAAAAGCAGATATCAAATTATACTTTACACGTTTTCACCTGGTTGATTTAGTTATTTTATTTTTTTGTTTTGTTTTTCATTTCCCTATGTAGAAAACCTATTTACAAACTGCTTTTTGTATTTACTATTAGATAACATTGACAAATGAACCCTTTAAATACTGTGGAGTTAGGAAGCTGAGGCGGAGGCAGTTATTGCAAGAAATAAGGTTCAAATGCATTTAGTCTCCTCGGACAGAGATATGGAGCTCTCTAACTAAGGCATTTCAGTACATACGTTTATACTTTACAAATTAACACACACTCCCCCTAGGGGAACTGACCCACTAACCTGACTCCGCCAGATGGATTTGCTCCGCATATCCATCTGGAAACCTTCCATTGAGGAAATTTTGGGAAGGGGCGAAAATACTGGTTAGCTGATTGGCCTATGTTGGTGATAGACGGGCCAAATAAACCAATCAGATCAACGAAGCATATGACGTACTAACAGCCAGGCTACTCTTGCCGAAACCAGTCGGGAGAAGAGCAAAAACATCTTTTCCTCTGAGAAAAGCCTCCAGAGCAGTGTTTTGGTCTTCTTTCAGTGAAGAAATACTCTGTAATTCCGATAAAACTTGCTCGATAGTTTCATCGGCTGAAGCCGCCATGTTCTTTAGACTGAACTGTCGCGCTTCTCATTGCGTTACACCTCAACCCGCCTCAAAGTCAACGCTGATTGGACGTTCGTTTGGTGAACGGCTCCAAATTTTCTTCAACGGAGAGTCTCCAGACTGACTAACGAGAGAAATCTTGAAAGCTCGCGAGATCAGGATGGTCTCACGAGGGTACTGACCCACCCCCTGCGTAAAGAACTTTCTCACATTTAAACGTCGAAGCAAAACAACTTGAGTTTATCAGGGCCATTCCTTGTTAGCGTAATATATCTTTCACTGGTCAGATGGATCTTCTCAAAACAGAAGTCCTCCCCTTCATGCCATGAAGAACGCTGTGTAACTCATTCTTATCTCTCATTAACTTCGTTTGGAGTCTGTGAGGCTAAAAACAGAAATACCTTAAAATGTTTTACTCCAAAATACAAAAGGAGAATCATGTGATTCTTTGCATGGACCATTTATAAGTTAATGTTGTCTTTGTCTATAATAAAATTTAAGTTAAGCTAATTAAAGAGAGAGAGTGAAACTAAAGTAAAGTAAAGGGAGGGTTTGAATACTTTTTACCTACTTTGTCCATTTTTGCATAAACTTCTTTGTTTGTCCAGGTGTGTTGATGTGGGAGGTGTTCACAGAGGGCCAGATGCCGTTTGATCAGAGTCCCAATCATGAAGTGGTAACCATGGTTACCAGTGGCCATCGACTATACAAGCCAAAAATGGCCACGCCTGCCTTGTATGACATCATGCAGCTCTGTTGGAACAACGTGAGTAAGACCACAGATCTGTCTTTCAGTCTGTTGTGTTTGGTTATGTTAAAGCTGAAGGTTACAGGAAGATTATGGAAACACTGGTCGCTTTTCACATTCGTTTTCCTGCATTTCCTTAATAGTTTTTTGGGCCATGTACCTTCTGAGTGTCAAAATAACAAAACAAATGGAACTAAAAGTTATAAAGTTCAGCAACTTTAGGAACTGTTAATGTTGCCATGGTTACAAAGCAACAGGGTTAGAAATGAAAGTCTTGACTCATCCCTACAAGGTGTGAGTGTCAATAATTGAAATACCGAAGCACTGTTAAAAAAAATGTAGAAACATCTCACCATGTTGAAAAATGAGCACATTTATGTTTTTTTCTAAGTGATCAGGAATTAATATTGGTTTATTAACCATTGAGTGGGATCCACACTACAATTTTACATAAATGCATAAAATTTAAAAATGGTATAAAAAAAATTCAGATTAATTAAAAACTTTTTAGACACAAAACAGCAATCTTCCTTAATGATTCTTGGCAAACAGGTAGTGCATACCTTAAGATTTGTGACAAACCTTAAGGTATGCACTAACTGTTTGTGTATAAGACTCCACCTCATGTTCGTCCGCCTACATCAGGGGTTACCAATTAAAAATCAGCGGGGTCCAAATAAAGAAAATCAACAACCAGTAAAGGTTTAGACATTTTTTAATATAATCCGTTTCTTTAAGCAGCATTTAACACGGAAATAAAATGCAGGTGTTTATACATCCATGCTATACATTGACTTTTTAAATAGAAAATATAAAAAAAGAAATTTTGATTTTTAAAAAGCATTTTAAAATCGAAATTGTTTTTCAAGAAGAGATATCTCAAACCTATAGAACCTATAGCTCTGGTAAGACCTAGTTGCCAGAAACCCAAGACTGGTCAACATCTGTAAAGGGAACCCTTTGGGACTGTGAATGAAGCTCCCCTTCCGTTTTTGTCTCCACTGGAGTTGTGCGTACTGATCGCCTTTTGTTCATCACGTCTGATGAAGAGAGATGGTGAGGTCAGTTTCTGTTCAGCACATAGGGCCATGAGCGATGCTTCGGGTCTAAGTTACAGTAACAGCCATTCAAAATGGCCCTTCCCAGTCAAGGGAAGGCTTCATTTATTAATCAGTAGAATATGAATTTTTTGTTTGTTGTTTTTTTGCCAAAATACCACCAGCATTTTGTTAAAAGTATATTGTTCACACCAAATGTCACAAATTCCTTTTGATTTTTTTAAATGTGTGTCACCCTTTTCTTCACAATGCATTATTATTGAACTAAAAAACAAAACAAAAAACACTCTGACAGCTCAGAGCTCTGCCAAGCAGCAAATTTTGCACCAAATTCTGACTTATTCCAATACGTTTGCTCCCAAATGATCTAGATCATCACTGAAATTTAATTAGTTGTTTGCTTGCATGAGGCACACCTCTGGTAAAAATTTATTATCACCTGACTTTTTGAGTATCGTTCTGAGGTTGTCAATAGTCACTACTGTACCTTCTGGTTTATGGGGGGACTGCTTGTTCTGCTAAATAGTGTTAAAGGATCCTTACGCAATTCCAGTATACTGATCATGATCTGGATCATAACCAAAATGTAATGGATTGCTCATTGGAATGAGTTGCACCTCTTGTAAACATTTAATAAAAATACGTTCCTAAAGTTTCAATTCATTCCGGTAACAGAAAAACAAACACTAGCGAAAAAATAACCTCTTGTGCGAAGGTCATAAACTGTGTCACGGAGAGAGACGCTTTGTGTTGCATTACAAACTGAAGTATAGATCTTTCTTTCTTAAAGCTTTGTGGTGAGTGACTCTGGAGTTTGCACATGTAGAAGTTGCACAGTTCTATGAAAGATAAGATCCCTTATTGAAATTTAATGTTCTATATTTTGCATGTTTTACGTTAAGTTTTCCATGAAATGCATTATGAAACCAGCATATTTACTATATCTGACTCATTTGCCAAAATGCACGTTTCATTGCACATGAGGTCCTACTTCCCTTTTTTTGGAAACTGTTTGTCTAACTTTAAAGTAAGTATTAAATAAACTATGTTGAAATCATACTTCCTGGAAATCTTGGTTTCTTTCATTCTAAAGATTGCTCATTTGATCTGGGACTTGGGTCAGATGAGATCATGTAGAAAACCCATTTGGAGTCAATATTTGTCAAGTTTATCCATATTCCAGCAATTTACTTTATTCTCGTTTCGGTTTCCTGTCGATGAGAAATTGATTACATCCAACATCTAAACTTTTCATGACTATTGAAAAATATATTTTTGTTTTGCCATCAGTTTATGTTTCAACAAATATTATCTAGGGATGCACGATATTGGGATTTTGGCCGATATCCGATATGCCGATATTTTAAAACTCATGTAGCCGATAACCGATATCGATACTGATGTTAAAGCTGGACAAAAATAAGTAGTCATTGAAAATAGCAGTTTTGTTATCCATTTCTGACACTTTGAAAAATAATATACTTAAATATATTTTCATATGCTGATATCAAATTGATTTTTAAAAACGCGGTATCGATCTATTTTACTTTCAAAATCTCGTGACATTTCATCCTTCTGTTACAAACTCTCGTGATATTTCGCAAATTCTTGTGAGATTTTGTTAGTAAAATAGATCGATACCGGGTCAATATATCAACATATAAAATATATGGCAAAATTTCCTGAATTTTCGGAGGATTTCGTAGCATAACGATGACATATAGCAATATTATATAAAAGAGATTGATATGGTGTTTTTAAATGGCAATATATCAGCATATGAAGATATTGGGATATTTTAATGTATCAATATTTTTTCCCTCGTCTTTAGAAGATTTTAAGTCTGTAAAAAAGAAGTTTTTGAGGAAGAAGAAGAGGTAGTTTTTTTTTTTTTTTTTTTTAGACTTTAGAAACTCAGAAGCTGATCAAATATCGGGTTAAATATCGGTGGGGTGGCCGATGTCCGATATTCAGTTTTAAAGGATAATTCCGGTTTTTAACACTTTTAGCACATTTTCTGTAGTGTCCAGGATGAAATCGAATGATCGACACCAAAATTTTGACAATTGGTCCTGTCTCTGCTTTTTGGCTCATGCAGAATCCCCCCCTGGCTGCTTCAGAATGGCTTCCATAGTGCATGTTCGATAATGTCCTTAAAACAACCTTAAACGTTCTTTTTTTAAAATATGCTACTCACCGGGTCGTCAGCGCTGTTCAATCACGTTCCAAAAAAAGTTTCGTAAAGAAAAAACGTTCCTGTAGTGTTTTATTTAGCATTTTGTAAATCCCATTGAGTTCTGTTGGAATAGTCAATATTCCGCTGCCACCGGAAACGGAAATGGGGCCTGTTTACACAGTTGTAGTCTTTTCGCTTCACTCTGTGTACTCCGACGTCGAGGTGCTAACGTCTCTGTTAAACACTTTAAAAAACTCTGAAAATGGAATACGAAAGGTGGATTCTTGATTCTCGACGTCGGAGCATGCACTATGGAAGCCATTGTGAAGCAGCCAAGGGTGGATTCTAAATGAGCCAAATAGCAGACACAGGACCAATTGTCAAAATTTTGGTGTCGATCATTTGATTTCATCCTGGACACTACAGAAAATGGGCTAAAAGTGTTAAAAACCGGAATTCTCCTTTAAGGCCGATACAGGCCGATACCGGTTATATCGTGCATCCCTAATATTATCTTCTTCCTGACTCGGTAAGGATAAAGCAGCAGCAGCAGCAGCAAAAAAAAAAAAAAAGTCACCCTTTTTTTATAAACTTGATAACAAAGCGTTTTGTTTTCAGACGGGTCATGTGGTCTAATGAAACCAAAAATCTTTTTTTGACATAATGACCTTTATTACATATGGAGAAGGGGGCGAGAGGAATGTGATGGTGAGGAAATGCAGAGATATGTGGAATTGAATTTAATTTAAATTGGCTTTTTTTTTTTTTTGTGACAGGACCTGTTAGTGCCAGCATAGATCACATTGCAGTTTAGGCTCCGATAAAATCGATCTGTGATCAAAACCTTATATAAAGTGAAAATAAAGCTCTGAGTGAAAATATGATACATTCTAGCTTCAGTTCCCTTTTATGTGTGAATGCAAGCCTGATGAAACACCTTGCCTTTGCTCTAACAACATAAAATGGATCTAATTTATTTATTCATGTAAACGCTCATACATCATCTGTTCATTGACATTTTACATATTATTTTATGTGATGTTATTTTTCTGTCTACAGAGACCAGAGGAGCGGCCGTCCTTCTCTCAGCTTTGTCTGATGCTCTCCGACGTTTTGGAGGACGACATTCTTCCCTCCACCTGATAATGCAGACTCCTCCTTGCTAAAGCAAAGTGACCGCTCCACGTGTTCGTCAGATAAAAGCCATTTCCGAAGGCACCGGTGATGGATTTAAACCACAAAAAGGAAGGCGAGTGTTCTGCAAAGTATTGCTGCTTAAGACATCAGAAACTGTCTGCTGACCACATCTGCTTTTCAGCTGCATAAACTGACAGCCTTCAGTAAAAACTCACAGGCTCTCTCAGAGGAGACGTTGACTGTAAAACCTGAATCATTTCAGCTTTCATTTTTGATTTTTTTTTTTTTTTTAATGAAGTTCTCCTTATCTTGCCTGCCCAGTAAAGACGTGGAGCTTTGGTGAATTTTACCTGCAGAACGGCAGCTTTTCATTGAAATCCAACACTTCCTTAACTAAGTTTGGGGTAAAAGGAAATCTATATGTGAAAATAATTCTGCCATTTAGAGGGAGCTCAGCTTAGAGCTTCAAATAAATTAAATTCCCATCATCTTAAATGTTATTGAATACAATAAAAATGTTCACTCAATGATATTCTGTGATCATTTTGATATTGAGCTTGACAACTCAAAATATTTGAGTCAACATCAAACTTAAGTATTTGAATGTAGTGGAGACTTGTGCAGATCAGTGTGACCTCCTTGACTGACTCTTGATAAATGATTGTGACCAGATGACAACAGGTAGCTGTGAATATTAATGGTTTGTTCAGTACTTTAAAAGCAAAACTAAGAATACACCAAAGCTCACTGTTTGACCCACATTCAGTGCTGTTGTTCTGGATCTAATTTTCTTTTTATACATGTTTAAAATATCAAGAATGTATTTTTTGGAAGCTCCCTGAAAATTGATGGTTTACAATTTTATTTCTAAGCTGCAACAATTTCAAGTGTTAAGATAATTTCATGATATGTTCATATAACAAAGGCACATACACAATTACAGCTCAAGTGACTATAAAACCTGTAGACCTAAAACGGTTCATTTGGTTTTACATTTGTAAAAAAAAATTGTATCTATAATGCAAAATTAAATAAAGACTATTTCTATGCTGGACTTAATATTCTTGGTTCTTAATATCTGTGTTCATTTTGTTTTGCTCTTGTGTTTTTTTTTTTTTTTTTTCCTACCATTGTGTTTGTAATTTCTGTCGCTGTGTCGTTGCTTTTATTTATCAAAAACCAGGATTTAGTTAGTACGATCGTGGGTGACAATAGTTGGATTGTGATAGTGTGGTCCTGTCCCGATTCCTCCATCTGTTCATGTGTCCTGGCTACTTGGCCAGGGGGGGGGTGTTCCTTTGGCTGGCATTCACCCGGGAGTATGTGAGATCAAATCCTGCCCAGGGCTTCTGTTGTGTACCTTGGCACAAGTGTCAATCCTCTCCTGCACCGAAGATGAAGTTGAAAGCATCCTAGTTGGATTAAAGTGAAAGGGATGGTTTCTGAAGTTTCTTCTTTACTTTGTAAATCACGATCTCAGAGTCTGGAAGATAAGACACCAAATGTCCCTTGAGGTCCAGTGAAGATCACAGTCAACTTACTAGGACATGTTAGGGCACTTTATGAAGATGCGTATTCTCTTATAGATGGATTATGCTAATTACAATCAGAAGTTCCAGTCTATATGCAGCCAACATGGTTCATATATAATACAAATGTCTGTTTATAGATCTTCCTCTGTTATGAAGGAAACCATAAAGGAAGTGGCGGCCTAGTGGTTAGGGCATCGCACTTGGAATCCTGGTTCTGAATGCAAACCCCACTCCCACAGACTGCCACTCTGGGTCCCTGAGCAAGACCCTTAACCCCCACACTACTTTATCTGAATACCAACAACATAAATCTTGCCCTTCTGGGCCTTTGTGAAAGAATATCTGTGTTTGGCGTTGTCCAATATTGTGTAACAAACCTAAAAAATAACTTGCCAGCTTAATAATGAAGAAGCTATTAATCAGCTTTTTAATTTTTTTATATGTAAAAATCAATTTCTGAGAATGTGTTTATCTAAGAGCAACTATGCAATTTAACAAACACCTAGAAAAAGTACACTATATTATATTATTTTCCATGTCAATCCCAGACTGTGCATGCTTCTTTGCCTTTTCTAAAAAACTGCTTTTTATCAGTCCTACCAGTCTATCAATGCAGACTGTGTTAGCCTTGCTGCATGCAGTCAGCCAAGCCTTGTAGCTAAACCAGGTCCTGGAAAAAGACAGAGTGAACAGTCTCCATCTGTCTTTTGGACTGCTGTTGGGCTGATCAGGTCCGAACGGTTTCACCTCCAGCTTCTCTTGGTAGTTTGCTTCCCTTCCGCAACTTGGCCTGTCAATTACCCACGCACCAACTGTGACGATAGTTCGCATCACCTCAAGTTGTAGATTTGGTGCGGCCAGAAATCTATACTTCTGTATTGCAGAGGAGCTACTGTGCATGTACAACTTTTAACAAACGCAATGAGCAAACATTTTTCCAACGAAAAATCAAATGATGCGTTACTCATCATTGTTGCGATACATTGTCCAAACCGGAACTACTCCTCTGAAGACACGTACCCCTTTTGGCATAGGTTTAGCTAGCTTCCCATATTAGTGTCATTTTTTCCCCAGTGTTCTGCGCCACTACTGGCTAGACAAAAGCACTACCAGCTGAAGGCTACGCTACGTAGAAACCAAATCCCTCCGGAGAAGTCTGCTCTTGCTGGACCGAGTCACAGTGCCTTTTTCCTGCGAATTGAGAAGGAGCTGAAAGTAGTGTTTTTATTCTTCCCTGCGATTCATAAGGAGCTGAATGCAATGTTTTTGTCCTTCCTGTGATTCAAACCGAGTGATCCTCTGCAGCAGAGACAGAAAAGAGCTAATGGAGCCATTAGAAGCGGCCGGATTGTGACCGCCTAAGACGGAGTCAGAGCAGCATTGCGGAAGTGCTGCGTTCTGGGAGTTATGAAATTAACCCCCCTGCAAATTGCCTCTTATTGTTGAATCGGATTGATCCAAATCTCTTTGAGTGAACGGGCCTGCAGAAACCGGGCCGAGCTGAAGGCCTTCTATCCACGGACCAAAAACAGTAACTGCATCCTTCCCTTCCTTTCCATTTGATGATTAAAAAGTGCTCTGCTTGGGTGAACTATAGGTAGAGATAGATAGTCGTGTTGGTGTTTTTATTTGAAATAAGCTTTCTGATTCAACTGCTGATGGTTTAAAGGTTTTAATGAATGCTAATGCTCTCTACAGACTGAACGAGTCACGTGTTACTGAAGATAACTGCTAAAAACATGAGCTAACCCTCTCTTTGTTTCAGTTGGGACCGGCCAGAACCAGAACTCCTGGCTAAGCTAATGGGTCTTCCAGCCTCATCGTAGTTTAATGCATTTCTGAGTCATTATTCTTTTTTCACCATAAACTAAATGAAACTTCACTGTTTTGACTGCAGTCAACATCACTGTGTCAGGATTTATTTACATTTTATCTGCTGCTTTTATAAAGGACACTTTTAAATGCATTAAGCCTTAAACTTTAAACATCACTCAGACTTTGAACTGACTATTAAAGCCCTCTTCCCCTTTTATTTCTTTAATTTAGATTATTTTTAGTAGTGTTTAGTGTTTTGCTTAGTTATTAGATATAATTGTAGCTAATAAAGGTACCATTGTCTAACCTTTTAGGAAAGGGGCTAAAACCCTGGTCAGTAAGCAAATTACAGTTATAATCATTCAACTGATAATAACTAGATTTACCCTTGATTTGAATGGCTTATTAATTAACTAACTTCCAGTTCTAGTTATTTAATATATTCATAACCTTCAGTTAAGCTGGCACATTATTAAAGATTAAATATTTATCTTGCACATCAAAAAATATATATCAATATACTTTTGAAATGATTTTTTTTAATAAATATGAATTATAAAATATAAATTTTATAATTACATTTTTATAAATTTTTTTAATGTCTTAATTGAGATCGATGGGCTGGTGGGGCGACGCCCTAGTGCCCTCCATTGGCCAACTGCCACTGTTAACACGGATTAATTCATGTATGTATTCATTTAATGGCTCGATATTCTTTGACCTTTATTGCAAACTGTCACTTGAAACTCAGGAAGCAGTAAACTTAAATGAAGACTGAACTTTGAGAGGTTAATTTCTTATAAATGGAGTTCCCTGCCTCAAACAGCTGACAAAACCTTTTTTTCAAGTAAAAAAAAAACCACAGTTTCCTGTCACAGGAAGTGTAGGTTTTATTTCTTTTTCAACTAAGCAAGGAGGTGCTTGTCTGAAAAGTCTCCTGAAAAGCAGTGAGTAATATTTATCCTTTTTTTTTTAACAAATTTAACATCTTCAGATAATACAACCTGCTTATTTTTTTTTTGTCTTGGGGGGGAAAAAAAGTTTAAAATAGTTCTACTAAAACATTAAATTAAAAATTAAGATAGCCTGTTTTTTTGGGAGAAAGTTTTATCTAATTAATTTGGATTCAGATTCAGTAACATGTTGAGAGATATTGTAAAAAATGCATTTTTAACTAGAATTATGGTTTTATGCTATTTTAATGTTCAAATAGTTTATACAGAGAAAAGGGTATGGGTATAAAATTAAAGTCTGTCTGCACATTTTGTACAACTAAAATACAAGACTTTGGTTACAAACTCTCTGTGCACTCTGTTTCCATATTCTCATCAGTGATTGACTTGCCATTTGGGCCTCATTTTCCAAAAAAGACTCAATGGATGGACACAGAACCAGGCAAATTTTTGTCTCTCACTCCTGTTCATTCACCTTTTGTAGAATCAAAATTAAGGACACGATCAAAGAAAGAAAAGGCATTTCAGACTGGTGTGCTGAATCCATTCAGGAAAAATTATGCTTATCAAAATGAGAATATATATATATATATATATATATATATATATATAGTAAAGAGAACTGGTCCTAGCACTGTGGTACTCCGTGGGTAACCCTGGAGGATGAGGAAGATTTATCATTAACGTGAACAAACTGAAATGTGGGAGATAGATAAGATTTAAATCAGCCTAGTTCTGTTCCTTTAATTCCTACGATATATTCAAACAAATTTTATGATCAACTGTGTCCAATGCTGCACTAAAATTAATTATCTTAGGCCATGAGAATATCATTAGTGACTTTCACCAGAGCTGTTTCAGTGCTATGAAGAGCTCTAAAGCCAGACTGAAACTCTTCAAAAAGTTAATTATGTTTGGCAACTTCTTTCTCAAGAATTTTAGATAAGAAAGGAAGATTGGATATAGGTCTATAATTGACCAAGTCATCTGGGCCAAGAGACGGTTTCTTAAGCAAAGGTTTAATTACAACAACCTTAAAAACTTTAGGTACATATCCCTGTAACATAGATAGATTAATCACATCTAAAATGGAGGAGGAGATCAAAGGGAATAACTTCTTAAATAACCTGGTGAGAACTGGATCTAACAAACAAGTTGAAGGCTTAGATGAAGACAAATGTTTTGCCAACTCTGAAAGTTCAACTGGATCAAAGCGGTCTAAACCCGGTTCAGATTCTATGGCTACCTCAGATGCTGCCTCACCTGCCAGAAATAAACCAACCATAGTTAGAGTGCTAACTATTGTTGGCATCCCACCTACTAAGAGCAGGTGGGATCGGTGGTTCTAAAGAGCTATGGCTCTGGGTGAGTTTGGCAACTGTATTAAAAAGATATCTAGGATTATTTTTATTCTCCTCTATTAATGAGGAAAAATATGCAGCTCTTGCTTTACAAACGGTCATCGAACTAAATATTTATTTAAAAACCTAAATATTTAATTTGAAAACTAAATATTTAGTTTGGAAAACAAATACTTGGCTATCCAACAAGATTTTAACTGACAATTTTTATAAATGTAAGAAAAGCATAGTAAAAAACTGACTCTTAAAGCACTCTAAATAACCAAAAATATTCCTCTTAAATTTTGACTGCTTAAAGAATGGCACCCCATACCCATATTCCAAATAAACTTTTACACATATTACTAAATAAATCACTTCCATCTAAGATTAGACAAACCTTGCCGCCTTCCGTTTATTTTTCTTGTCATGACCTGTAATGAGACTGGAGCAGTTGCAACACTTTTTCCATTTGACTGTTACTCAGAGATGGTTGGACAACATTAACTGCATTTTTATATATTCAGCATATAGTTACACATATGCATTTGATGACTATCTTGAAAACAGCAGAACAAGCTGCATAAACTAAGCTTTATGATTTGATCTAAAGCACTGATGCCATTGCTAAGTTATTTATTTCTATGGTTTATTTTCATTAATGTTGGCTTTTCCCTCAGTAATTAAACCCACTGATATTGAATTGCTTTTGTTTTCTTCAGATCTTGATTGACTTGGATTTCCTCAAATCAAAGGACAAAATCAGAAAATGATGTTTCAACAGATGTGGCATTTCCTGCCCATTACTGCTCTTCTCTTCTCTCTGTCTGACCGCACATTTGCTGAGGTGGTGCAGTCCATTTCGGACTGTGACCACTATCTTCTCAACCACACTCTGCCACATGTTCCAGGCATTTTGGAGGATGGCAGGATCCTAAATCAGAACCGATACAAAATAATCTGCCAGACCTACAGAAACAGGAGGAGATTTGTGACGCTCTACGATGTACAAAACAAGATTCCAGTGTTTTCTGCTTTCAGATTTGTTGATCAAGTTGACAGGAAGAGGCCCAAAACCTATTGGAAGATAGAACCACAGGTAGGGTTTATATCTGGAATGAATGTCGGCACTTTATCATTATCCAACCAGTTGTTTTAATCTATAATGTCCAGTTTTCTTTCAAATACACTTCTCTCCTCTCTTCACAGCTGGAGAATGAATCTACCAACAAGAATATGATGCGGGAAAACAAGATGAAGAACTACACCTACCAGGCTAGCAACAAAGACTATAAAGCCAACAACACATTTGATAGAGGTCATATATTTCCCAGCTCTTATGCCTCATCCAAAGAGGACAAAGAGTCAACTTTCACCCTGACAAACATCGTTCCTCAAGCAGAGTCCTTCAACAAGGGCAGCTGGAACAAAATGGAGATATGCACCAAATGTGTCATGGAGAAGTACTGCATCAACAGCAGTGGTGGTACTGAGGGCTTTGTGGTGACTGGAGCTCAACCCAGTTTAAACAGCGTGCTAAACGATAGAGTCAACGTTCCCTCTGCGCTTTGGTCGGCATTCTGCTGCTACAGTGCGGTCAGGGGGGCGTGGATAGCCAGCGGGCACTGGGGCAACAACGTTCAAGATGAGTCCAAACATAAATATCTTGAGACCATGACCCTGGAAAACCTTCAGCACATTCTGGGGATGTCTAACTCTGAGTTTGTAATGTTTCCTGGAACAAAATGTCCTCTGACCACCACCGTTACTGAGTTTTACCCAGAACTGAAAAACTGCCCCTGTCCGCCAACAGTATCTGGATCCATCACATCACCACCCTCTCATTTTGCTTTTATTTTCCCATTATTCGTGTACTCATATCTTCACTGGGTGTCTTGCTAATAAGAAAAAACTGAAAAAGGAACACCTTTTTTGGCAGAAATAGATTTGTTGAATTTAAGCAGACTATATCATTAGAGCCACTAAGATCAACATGCCGGATGAAGGGGGCTGATTTTATTCCATGGACACATCCGGTACCTTTAAAACTCATTAAGCAAGCTTGCTTCATCAGAATCAGAAATACTTTAATAATCCCAGAGGGAAATTACTTTCATAGAGTAATGCTGATGAAGATCTCAGTCATCCAGGTCATAGTCATTCCATAAAAATTCAAAAAATATCCACTGGACTTGGTTTTCAAGATTTGAAGACGTTTCGCCACCTCTCCAGGAAGCTTTCTCAATTCAAATGTCACTGTGGATCCAGACATTTGAATTGAGAAAGCTTCCTGGAGAGGTGGCGAAACGTCTTCAAATCTTGAAAACCAAGTCCAGTGGATATTTTTTGAATTTTTACGGAATTCATAGAGTAATGTTCAATGTTCTTCCAGTCCAGACAAACATTTCTACATCTAACTATAGTCTGGCATTGTAGATAATGATGAACCTAAGTGCCATTATATTAAGGTAACGTGTGACGCAAAATGTCCATGCTTAGTTTAGACATAAACAAAAAACACTGCTAAGTAACATGAAGGACCTAACACATTTTTTTATTTTTATTTTCACAGCTGCATGCCTATGAAGTGATAGAAATATAAGATTAAATGCAACAGGAATGACCAACTGTGACTCAGCATTATGTATTTTTGGCCTTTCTGTAAATAAAAAAAAAAAACTTCTGCAAATGAGCTTTTCTATACTGAACAAAAAAAAAAGTCAGAAAAACCACACATAGAAACTCTTCCCATTAAAGGATTTTAATTGAGTTATTGATGGCATGGGTTTCAAAATTTCTCAACATACAACAATTTTATTTCCTGTAATTAATGGTTCAGAAAAGCTGATTGTAACAAATACATTCAATATACTGAAGATAAAAACATGCAATCTCTCAAAAATCCCTGAGAGATTGCTTCTGGAAACATACAGAAGCTGTTTCAACCTAACATTTGTTTTTTATATGACTAAAATAGAACTTGCACAATGAAAAGGGAAGAGAAAGTGTTTTCTCCATCGCAAGTGGAAAGGAAAACGAAATCATTGAATACTTATTAGCAGAGGTAGTTATGTGTCATCTTAATACATATAAAAACAAAAAACTGAAAAACAGTGGAAGAAAGTGTGTCATTTGAAAAGAATATAATGTGTTTAAGAAAAGGTGTATTAACACTTAGAGGTAGTAAAATGTGAGTTTGGGTTCATATAAAAAAAAAAAATAAGGAAACAAATACTGTCATATGCTGCTTTACACTGCAGCACTTTGAAAATGGTGATAAAAAAACAAATATGAAAATAAAAACATTTTAATTTAGTTTCAATTAGTCTAAGTAATAGAAAAAAAAACTACTTTTAAGATAAATGCAACGTAACATTTATACTATTCTACTAAAGGAAAGAAGTTTACATTTATAAACAAAAATCAATTAAAGTTTCTAGAATCCTAAAAAATGCCAACTGTACGGACACAAAAATAGACAAACCAACACTTAACAGACTGACACCTGATGTCAGAGTTGGGTTTTAATATTTTCCGCTTTAAATCTTCCAACGCATCCGGGTCAGTGGCCTGAAAACTAAAACCATTGCTCCTTGAACCTACATTTCTCCGTTCATCTCACAAAACTTCTGCCAATATTTAATGACCAGTGTTCCCTAAAACCAGGAGAAAAATAACAGAGCGCACCTTTGTTCATCAGGAGATTCCATCCCTAAATACTTTATTTTGTATGATTATTAAAATTCTAAAGAAAAACAAAAATCTTGATTAAAATGTAATTAATAACACTGAACAAAGACATTATTGCTTAACTCCTCTTCAAAATGAAAGACCCTCAATAGAAGGAAAAACATAGTGTAAGTCAAACTAATACTGCATTTCTATCTTTAATTCACTGTGTATGTTTTGACCCACTAGCGCTTTACTTTTGTGGCCTAAATCTGGCAGTTTTGAGTAAATCTCCCCGAGTGTTGCCTTAAATTTAGTGTAACATGACAGATTAGATTGAAGGCTTTTTAATGAAGCATTTTACTAGTAAAATATGAGACACTTTCTGTCAAACTAACGGATTTAAAGTCTAAACAGCAAGAGAAAAATATAGATATTTGGAGTTCCACAAGGCTCAGTTATCGGTCCTTTAGGATTTACCTGCTACTCGTTTAAAAAAATACTGTCAAAAAGAGGATTATTTCTTATAGACTATACAAAAAATACATGTTCTTACAATTTGATGTAAAATCTGATGATCGTTTTCATGTTTTGACAACTTTAATAATAGTTACTGCATCTCCAAAAACATTTGTAACTATTTCATATATTTCAAACCATTGATGCAGATTGCACCATATATATTGCAATGTAATCAAAGAAGATTATTCAATACTTAAGCTAATCTTTAGGTGTTTACATAAAAGTAGTTGGAAAAAGAAAAATGTGAAAGGGATTTAAGCTATGTTTGAAAATGTAATTTAATCAGGAATACTAAAATTAGAACTCAAATGCCCCACAGGTAAAGGGTCATTAAAAATTCAATTAAATAATCAATGGGTCTGGGTAGGAGAAGCAAAAAGGACTTAACGATGGTCTGAGTAAATTATGGAAAGGTTTCTATGGTAATGCAGAGCTATATCATCACAAATTGTATGGGAAATAATCATATTACAAGTTATTACTCTGATTTATACAGCAAATACTTTTATTAGCTTATTTACTGCTTTTATACATTTTAGAAACCTGAACTATTACTTCAAATGCAAATGAATATTTCACCTGCACCTTTGATATGATTTATCCAGCAACTCCTACAGGTCTCGTCTAATTGAGGTTGATGAACTCAGCAGTGTCTCCATCAGAATAAAAAAGCAGTCCAGCATGTAGAGGCTGAGTGAATGTGGTCTGGACTCTATGGAGGAGAGTCATGGTTTCAGAGACGCTGTAGAAAGACAGAATACCTGCTCTGTGATCCAGATACACGCCAACTCTCAAGAAGCACGGACCTGAAAGCGGAGTTTTCACATTGTTGTGCCAAAACGTGTAGCTGTTCCGATCGCAACACAACGCCCAAGATTTGTCATTGCATCCCAGCAAGCATTCATTTAAGCGGCCCGCTCTTTTGATGTTTTTGTATGCGACTGCAACGCGAACTCCCCCACGTTTGGCTTCCAACTCCCAGTAACAACGTCCGGTCAGACTCTCTCTGGTCAACACCTGATGCCAGGCGGTGAACCTGTCTGGGTGACTGGGATAGTGCTGTTCTTCCTTCATGTACGTTGCTTTGGTTTTTTCCTCAGACAGCAGAAGATGAGAATGTGCCGTGTTTGGATCCAGGGTGATTTCTTTAGAATACTTTAAGAATCCATCTCTTGTCTTGGGTTCAGGTTGGGGCAGTAAAACATCGACTTCAGCGACTCTCTGCGAGATGTTGGTCCAGGTGTCTCTGATGAGGTCTTCAAGTTTGTCTCTGAGCTCTGACACAGCTGCTGTCACATCCTCAAAGTATCTCAGAGGACGAATATTGATGCTGGATGAGTGTGTAGACTCACTGAGTGCTGAAAGTGGGGGGTAGTTGTGGAGAAACTGGTTGTGATCCTCTGTGTTTGAGAGCTTCTCCAGCTCAGCATCTTTCCTCTTCAGCTCAGTGATCTCCTGCTCCAGCTTCACCTGAAACTCTTTGACTCGACTCACTTCAGTTTCCTGCTGGGATCTGATCTGCTGCTTCACATCAGAGCTTCTTTTTTTAATGAGATGAATCAAATGAGAAAAAATCTTCTCATTGTCCTCCACTGCTTTATCAGCATAGATATTGATGGCCTCCACCTCCTTTTGAAGAAGCTCCACATCTTTCTCCTGGTCCTGGATTCTCTGCTGGATTAGTTGTCGACTTTCCTCCAGCTCCTTCTGCTTCTCGGCTCTTTCCGCAGCAAGTGAGACCGTTTCATGATCTTTATGTTCGTCCATCAAACAGAGATAACAGATTAGCTGCTCATCTGTACGGCAGAAGATCTTCATCACCTCATCGTGAAGAGAGCAGATGCTGTCTTGAAGGTCTCTGCGAGGATCGACCAGCTTGTGCTTTTCAAATGCAGAAGACTCGTAATGTAGCTGAATATGTTTCTCACAGTAAGACGCCAAGCAGACCAAACAGGACTGGACAGCTTTCAGCTTGATTCCAGTGCAGACGTCACAGGCCACGTCTTCGGGTCCAGCAGAGCCGTGATCAGAATGGCTTCGTTTGAGGCCATCCTTCTGCAGCTTCTCTACCAACTCTGATAACGTGATGTTTTTTTTCAAGGCAGGTCTGCCGCTGAAGGTCTGCCCACACTGGGGACAGCTGTGGGTCCCCTCCTGGTCTTCTCTGTCCCAGTGATCTTTAATGCAGTTCATACAGTGGCTGTGCCCACAGGGGATTGTCACTGGATCGCTCAGAAGATCCAAACAGATGGGACACGCGATGGAGTCTTGGTTCAGCTCGTCTTCTCTCTGCTCCATGTTTGCTTCTGTCCTGTTGGAGATGAACAAGTTTCACTTTGTGCCGTCTTTTAAGCAGAGGCTTTTATTGCAGCCGCCTTCTTTAGTCTGGTAAAGTTCGTCTTTAACGTTCCAAACTGAAAGACACAAAATAGGGAGATGTGGGTTATTCCTTGATCTGCACTACAACTTACCTGTTTGACAATCTTTCTGGTGACTCAATGAACAAGCCTGAACTAATGGCTTCGTAGTAAAGAACGTATAGGTGTGATAGTACCATGTGGGCATTACTAGTTTACCTGGTAATAGTTATGCAATCACTGTGATACAAACACAAATTTTGGAGTGTACCATTTTGATGACACCAACGGAGATGATAAAAATATTTACTTCATTGCACTGTTTTAGTTGACTGTATGGTTGGGATGGCAACAAAATGTTATCATAGTCCCACAATATCAAACTGCTCTTGGAAAACAAAACCTTTTAAAAGATCGCAACAGTGATGAAACAGTTGGTTTAAATGGAGATCGATGGATCGATCCATCGATCCATCGATCCATCGATCCATCCATCCATCCATCCATCCATCCATCCATCCATCCATCCATCCATCCATCCATCCATCCATCCATCCATCCATCCATCCATCAATCAATGGCTGTGGGGCAGCTGTCTATCTCCA